GTAAGTTCTGTATGAATAATTTTTAGAACACTGGTAGATCCATAGGAAAAGCTATTAGAATCAAGGGATGTCAAAAATCCCTTTTTCTATCCTGTCATGCGAGTCACGTCAAAGAAACTGTGATACATGAAAAAATAGCGATTTTAAAGTAATCATATAAAGACTAAACCATAAATTCACAATGCCCTGACTCAAATACACGCTAATTTGAGTTGAATAAATGCCAGGTTAACAACAGTAATGCATTAAAACTTTACATTTTGTTCAAATGTCACGCGAGTCACCATGGAATGGCTGATATAAAGAATTAAACTACACACACCAACCACATTCTATCTGTTTTGTAAATTTGTACAGTTTTTTATTACATACATTTTCGCTTTTATCATCTTTTTACAGGAATATCCGAGAATCCAATTATAACGAATGTTGAATTTCTCATCATGTCTCCACATGAGATGTACATGAGTAAACAAATGTAACAAAGAATGTTATGGTTTTTCAACTTGGTAACTTACTTTGTTCAATATAAAGAACACATTTTGAGTAAAGAAAAAAAAAACCTAAAGAAAACATCAAGTTAAGAAGCCCTGAAACACTGACAAATTCTGGTTTGATATAAAAGTGAGCAAGCAGCATATTGCTAAAGGGTTAAACAAGTAAACTTTGCCAGATAATATTAATATGAGGAAGAAGGGCCCCAAATATTTCGGCCTTGCTTACCATGGAATTCTGTGTTTATGACAATTTTGTGCTTACAACACTAGCAAATAAATTATACACTAACCCTGTAAGTGCAACTTTCCTTGGTTAAGCAGATACTGGTAGGCCAACATTCCTTGCCTACCCATGAAATATGCTTACCGAACAAGATTTTCCTGCTTAGAGTAGTGAATGTTTTGCTTACAGTAAGTGGAGAAAGAAAAATCATAAATTGGACCCATTTGTCCAAAGTTCTGTTTATGTTGATTTCCAAATATTGTCTCCAGGGCTTTTTGCCCTGAATGCTCTTGTCCTGAATTTTGACTAAATATCCCAAAGATTCACTTTAAAAAAACCCCAAAACTTGTACCAAGTCGGAACGCACATCTCCAAGTTACCTTAATTAACTTGTGTTGCTCACCAAGTTACTTACACAGTGGACACTCATTTAGTCAAGTATTTACACAAAATTTTAAATTATGTTGCATTAAACTGGTGCAGAAATTGCATGTAAATGTCTGAATGATGCAGATGACAAATTTGGCCAACACACGGAATTACACTTCACTTTTTACGTCAGAAATTCTTGCAGATTTTTTTATTTCGCCCGGGGAAGATAAACAAAGACATGGAAGAACACTGAGACATTTGTGAGTTTAATTTTAAGATTTTTAAGACAGTTATTTTTTTTTTTTCTGAGGGAAAATTCTTCATCTGCATCAGACATGAACAAAAAAAATATGTATTTGACTATAACTATAACTTACAACATTTATAATGCGCATAAATAATGCGCATAAATGATGCGCATAAATGATGATCAATTTACATCACCCTGGCCATGTTTGCCCAATAGAGGGCGCCCTTTCCAGCAGATCAATAACACTTCATATAAGACTGTATTATGTCATATCTGCACATGCATATTATAATCTACGATTACATTTTATGGCTTAAAAAGTTTTTCATGCTAAATGGCTGCAACAAAGTTGGCCTTTTAATACCTACCACAATTTCAAAGAATGTTATTTTATCATCACATACATTTTTAGCACCAAATCGCACTGATTGTGTGTATATACAGTATATATTTTATTTTAATATTTTTTTTGTTTATACTTTTTAAATTCTGGACATATATGGGTAGATAAGGCTTACTTTTCTAATTCCAAAATCTGAAAAAAAGGTACAAATTAAGAACCATTTAAACTGTGACTCCAGTAGCTGCCAAGTTAAACATCTGGCAATATTATGAGAATAAAGTAGGAATCTTACATTTTATAATATAAAAGTTCTGATCAATACTGTTTGCGCATTTTATATTTATTTTAAGTTCGCATAAACGCTTTTTTTATTTTCACATAAAGTAGATTTCTTGTGTTTTTGCAAGAAAGAGACCTAAGTGCAGGTTGCAAGATGGCTATTCCATACCACACTTTACCTAAAATCCTTGGCCGTTTCTGAAACAGTTTTCAGAGCTACGACTATACCTATTGTCAACATGTGCCCAAACAAAGACTATTCAATGGCTCTACAATAGAGATTTGGATGAGGCCGAAGCCAGCCTTATCTGAGACTGATTCTGAAAACGAATTACCTCCATAGAGTGATGTTTGATGGTAAACAGATCTTTCACACATCTCATTCTAATAACACACATTAAAGGTAGAGTACATCATTTGTCATTTTGTTTTGTTTAAAGCAAACACAGTGCTCAAAATCTAAAGACGGGTGCTTAACAACTAACCTGATGAAGTTTTAGGTCTGTAAATGCTGTACATTCCGAGAAAACAATATCTAGGATCTCGATTTTAATTCAAAAGTTGGCGAGTCATATTTTAAATTGCTCCCAAAATCAGCATTAGGAATGCGTTCTCATTCAGCCGATTGCAGCTACATGATGTCACACACTGAACCAACGAATAATATTAACCACGCCCGCGCATGTGTCGTGTCAATGTTTGAGCGCACCCATTCACGGATTTGCCCTATTACAAACCATCTACTAACTGAAATTTCCAAGAATGTGTCACTTGACTCATCTTTAGAAATGACCTTCTTTTATTGTTTTGTTCAAAATGACGGCATGCCCAAATAATTTCACAGGGAGTTTAGTGCCATCTCCATCTTTAAACCAAGTAAGCTTTTCAACAATAATTTGGTCAGTTACTTTTTGGATAGCTGCAAATGATATACTCTACCTTTTCCCTCTCTCTCATTTGTTTTGCAGTCTGAAATATAAAGAAACTATTGACAAATATTGCAAATATTAACAAGAAAACCAATAATTCTGATTTAAGAAAGGTTTGCCTACTGCAACTCTGAAATTTTGGCACAAAAAAAACCAGCCGAAAAACAACACTAATTAGATAAGGCCAAAAAAAAAAAGTCTCCGGTTTCTGGTATGGAGCTTGCCCAAAAAGTGGTGCGGCGATGCGGTTTTTTTTTTTTTTTTACCTGATTTTTTTGCTTCAAATGTCGGCTGATGACTGCAAATGGTGCCCGACTAAACTTAGTGCAAATATATGGGAGTCCAGAGAGGCCACAAAAAGCTTATTCTCGACCATAACCCAATCTAAAAACACGTTAAAATTGTGCAGCAGCAGGATTCCAGTTAAACCAGTGAGTTTGGCGGTTTTGAGACATCATCTTTTATTGAAAAAAAACCTTTTCACTTTGCCGACGCGCATGGCTACGGCGACGCGCGTGCATACCAGAAACTGGAGACTTTTTTTTTTGGCCTAATGTGTTTTTTTTTTAAAGCTGCCATAACAACAGTTGGTGTGACTGCAAGAAAGGCATTAAATGAATGAGAATACCGGTAGGCTCTGCGCACAAGTACCCGCTAAACGGCTAAAAGGGAAATTCCTTGAATGCATTACTGACGCTCAGGAAGAGATACTATGGATTTGTGCAGATTCGAAATAGAATTAATGGTGCATACTTTGCGCGATAGCGTGTGATGTGTCCCTGCACTAGAGCTCTTGAAAAGGGCCAAAGAGCGCCCTCTCTTGTTCATGCATGGAGTCGATATGTCTGAACAATAGGAACACACATTTCTCTACAGTTAGGCAAGATACGGGAACACTTTGATAGGTGTCCTTAACAAAGATATTGGGATCCCTTTTCACTATATTGCTAGGTGTATGGTAGATGACTTTCGGTAAAAGAAACAAATGTCAACAAACAAGCTACTGATTATTTCCGCACAAATGCTAGAAAAGGGCAAATGATTAATTCACTGGAACATTACCAATTGGGCTTATACCAGGTAATAACATTTAATTATAATCTATTGCATAAATCAAATAAACAATGTATCTGCAATTGTAACTTTTACTTTTGGGTGGGTTTAACCTGACTTTTATGTGAAACCAAACCATCCTGTAAAAGCAGAATAATCTGCTGTTACTCTCACCCAAAAAAATCAGATCAGTTTCAAGTTTTATCTCAAATCTACTTTCAAATTAATGCCTTTGACATTCACCATTTAATCTTACTGTGTATTTATAAGTATTTTTTACCTCCGCATACTAAGTACACTGGGAAAAAAAATAGCACCCACTTAAGATTTACCCAATGAAACAAACTTCCCAAATCCTTGCGGAAAAATAGAATAAGACAATGTTCAACAAAATATCCAGAATGCTTTTTCAACAATATACACTGTACACACTTGTTAATTAGCACACTTTTATGATGGATTTACCATCTGTTTTTCTGCCACATATCCTCGATGAACCATTGTGATCTTTTGTGTCCTACATTCTACTTGGAAGCAGAAAAAAATTGACAATTTCCTGATCTAAATGTGAAACTACATTTATACTGAAGCCGTGTCCGAAAAACTTGGCGAAATTACACACGTGTCTATGATAGCGGCTGCAGCCACTTTACATAGACTCATGTGAATTTCAAGCTGTAACCAGGTAATTCGAACCCGGCCTAATATTTGGATTTTGAAGGTCTCTGCTTGAACTGTGGTCCTGGCTCCCTGCAGTATGAACATTGTAACTCCTGCTCTTATTGTCAACCAGTGAAGTCACCGGATTGTTGTAGTCTGGTTTCAAACAGTCGACTAGACTAACCAACCACTCGTGTGTCCAAAACTTAGTTGGATAAAACATAGTTCTAGACTGAGCTTGCTTTCTGTGAGTGTGGGTTACAATCACTTTGCAATACAGCTTTAAAGGGTGATGAGACAGAATATTGGCTAGACTGGTCCCCGCCGCCCAAAAATATTTGAATCAGAATGATAATGGAGGCATCGGGAACCAGTCCAGAAGTCGCCTCATTTATTTGCTTCATCAGAATTGTTCCTGTGCATAATACCGACCTGTGTGGGTTTGCTGAAGTGAGAAAATTTTGTTCTCTGCTGGGAATGATTTTTGTAAGTTCGATGCCGGATTGGATCAAAATGCCAGTCACCATATGCCTGTCTACCGTCTTCAATGCTCTCTCTGTTTTGAGAGTGCTGCCTTTCATTTAACAATGCCCGTAAGTTTACTGGCCAATTTTACTGCACTTCTGTTGACTTTTATTGTGCACTTTAAGACATTTCTGAAACCGTGACTTGGGCTTTGGCCATTTCAACCGTGTCTCTCTTTTAAAGTGTTAAATGCTTGAAATAAGCATAAAAAACATTCAGCCCTTATTTTAAATGTCACGTTTCACTCATTTCAAACCCAGAGCCTAGATGGCCTGAAACGTGGGGCTGGTCGATTGAAGCTGAGGCCAAGATTTAAAAACTGACCTTTAAAAAGTGCTTAACTATTTCCAGTTTCATACCCTACATGTCATAATCCAAGTCCACGATGTCATATTCCAAGTTCCACAAAGATGTCTTCACGGTGGTCTAGGGAGCTAGACAAACATCGCTGGTTTTGGCAAGCACGTCCGAAGATTTGAAGGGCAAGCCGTCATTTCCCATAATGCCATGCAACTGGTGAGCATGCCCAGTAGGGTTGATTTTTTTTTTTTTTGCCAGAGGTCATCGGCTATATATTCACCTCGGTCTTAAAAGAAGCTTAACAAACATGGCGGATGTGTCCACAGCTTTGTCCCATAATGCCGTGTAACTTTTAACGCATGCTCAGTGGAGTAAGGTTTTTATTTCTCGGACTAGGCTTTTGGACAACGGTGGACTAGTACGTGATGGGTTTGTTCTTAAAGGAGTCGACCACGTGTCCTGAGAACCGACGGAGGAATTTCGGATACTCTCGTTTGTAGACGGCGCGAATGACAGAACTCGGAACCCAACCGCCAGGATTTGCTGTGAATGTAATACAAGCGATGTGTCATTAGTATTTTTTTTTTCTAAAAAATGTCAAGACTGGGCCTACTTGATTTTATACTTGCCTTTTTTTAATGAAAGTTTCACACACCAAAAGAAATACAAAGTGCATTTTCTAGGGAATGTTAGGGATGGCAGTGTTTTTGGAGAGTAAGTGGTTGCTCTTTATAAAACATTTTACGCTCTCAGAATAAAATTTTAAGAGAAAAATTGTGCAAAGTTTGGAAGAGTGTTCCTAAAACATAGCTTCTGCTCGACATATAGTCTTTTGTCGGAATTTAAAGTAAACTACAAGTGAGTAACGATATGATGCTGTAAAAAAGGAACCACAAATTAAAAACAGATTGTGTAAGACAAAACAGATGTACGCTTCCGAAAGAAAGGAAGAGGGCACTAAAAGTGGGAAAGAAAAAAATACAATCATGAAAATGGTTATTTGTATTGAATGACTTATCAGGGTTGGCAATCACCGACCAAAATAAACACAGTCACGAAACCATTACACGGCAAAAAAACTTATCACATTGAAAATGTCATTGTAATATTAAATAGGCCACAGGACATAACCTTAAAGAACAAGTTTTGACAAGTGTTGAACAAGCGTTAAACTGCGAGAGCCTGCAATGCATAGTTTCATAGCTCCGTGAACATAAAATTTAGCAGTAGCAGGAAATAAAAAGTGGTGGGCGTGCAAGAACAAGGACGAAGTGAAACAGTTTGACTTGCAATTTTGCCTCCAAAAGCGAAAGAAAAGCAATACAAAACACAACTTTATTTTCTTTTTCTAATGTTGAGGGTTCATGAACATGCCACCACGAATACGACAGGTGATGCATAACAAACTTTTTGGCGGCTTTATTCTTCTTAACAGGTCTGTACTTGGAAAATAAATGCATTGTGTTAGACGCCAAAAGGGACCTACGTGTATGTATTCCCCCCCCCCCCCCCCCCAGTCACAATGGGAGAATGTACAATGCAGTAGCTTTCAAAATTGGGAAGTCATTCCCCAATTGTCACCGTATTTGTGCAAAGCATGGGGTGCTAACTGGCTCGGGGATTTAAAATACCAACAAATTTTCCTTTGGGAATTCTATTTTGGGGATCCATATTATGGACAATGCCCTATGCTTGAACTTCAAGAACGTCAACAACTTGGATAAACTCTTTCTTGGTACAGTGAACTTAACACGCAAAATCAGGAACTAACAAGCAATCAAAACTGCTGAACCAAAACCAAAAGTTTTTCTTTACCCATGAGAAATTCTCATAAGCAGTTTACTGGCATCATCACACTCTTGGGATATTTACTTCCTTAAGATTCCGTTACAAATTTGTTGTGTGCAATTTACAGTAATTTACACTAAAGACGTAGGTGGAAAGTTATCAACAACCCCCTCCCCTCCCAGCACCCCCCCCAAACCCCCCCCCCCCCCCCAGCAAATCCTGCGTAGAAAGAGGTCAGAACTTTTCTCCAACAAATTCAAAATTATGGGCAAGTTCGATCAAGGACCATAGTTAACAATAGTTAGACTAACTCTGATCAAACGCATGTTAGTTGGTGGACAAACCATGGCTGATCGAGTGATCGTGCCGTCATTTTAGCTGGTTATCAAAGCAATGTTCATAGCACAGTGCAGAGGGGACCAACTATCAGCAAAAATGGTGAAAAAAATGCAAACTGTGAGTGCAAAATCAAATTTTCATTGCACAGTTTTTCATGTTAGTTTACGATTCTGCCACCTTTGTCACCCTGGTACAAATAACAATGGTGATTGTGTAAGGTGTCCTAAAATACACAATCAATATTATTTGTGTAAATAAACAGAAACATCGAGTGTTGAAAAATTCTTTAGCCGATGTACGACAGCCATTTTCTCACGGTCGTTGCCAGGACAATAGGTTGACTAGAGTCTTTCGCACTTCAACGTCAGTACATCAAGAACCAACCACTAGTTAACCATTAGTCCTTGAATGAACTTCCCCTTTTTTGTCCACTTTGACCAGAAAAAAAGGCAAACCCTCAGTTTGATATTCAGACTGACTAATTATTGGGGGGAAAACAAATAAACAAACAAACAAACAAACAAACAAACAAAATGTCTAAAGAATGAACAAAAACATGTAGTACCCATAAAGAAGGCATTTATGTACATTATGCAATTATTAAGAGAACAAGCAATAAAAAAGTAAGGTCTGACAATAGAGGGCGCCCCACACAAAGCACAGTGTCTCATGTTGGTTGCAATGTTATGAAAAGAAAACCTTGATTTCATAATAGTTTTTGTCCGCTTTTTTTTGGTTTTGAAGTACACCTCTGAATAAACAGTACAGGAAGGGGTTCATGGACAAGTACGGCACAAACGTCCTTTCCATGACAACTACTCAAGGCTAGAATGAGTTCATTTGAATGACAATAGACGTTGCAGACAGGATTTACTGATGAGGAAAACAAACCTTTTCAGGTCAGGAAATGCTGACGTTAGTGTCTGGTGAATGCAGGTTGGGTGCCTGGTAAATACGAGCACTGGCCTATTTGAACATGTTTTCAGGTTTTCATTTTTACCGCAAAATAAATATGGGTGATACGAATGATTAAAAACAAAACAGCTTGTGCAAAGATCTTGATGGTACGGTGTCAATTTCTCTGTTTTTTCCCTCTAATTTTTAACACTTCCACAACCATGCGGTAGCAATTACGAGCCACCTCTATAGAAACCTGAACCAGGAAATGAAAAAGTTTTATCAGGAAATTGCCACATGTCACACACGACACCCACACACTGGAGGAAGTTCAGTTGTTGCTTCCCGAGAGATTTCTACTGAAAAACAAAACCACAAGTCCAGGATTTCAGCAGAGTTTATTAAAAAAAGAAAAGAAAAAAAGAGTGCGACATACGAGCAAGCACAAGTCATGTAATTAGAATCCCTTAACCAGTTAAAGACACTGGCAGCGCAGTGCAAAACATAGAGCTAGGTCCTAGCTTTACGGAGAAAACCTCCAGGGTGATTAACATGGCAAATACTAATTTAGGATAATAGTTTTTTAGATAAGGGAGGGGAATTACAACATATGCACTTATTTCAACATTGTGACATACATATATGAACCCCTTTTTTTCATTTTTAAATTTTTTTAGATAGCATGTCACTGAATACGACTTTGCTGTAAATGTCAATAACAATGTCAGCCATGTGTTTCTTTAATTTTTGGTTCATGTAATAACCAATTGGAAACTGTACGGGTAAGATTAGACGGTTTGCGTGGTGTACATGAACAATATACAATGTCACTATGTAATTAATGTACAGTATTCTCCTGTATTGATTCATGTGAAGATCCGGTGAATTCCGGTTCTGCAGTGAATAATCAAATCAAAATGTGACTTTGAGTTTAATTTTGTAAACGTTTAGCAAACATTTAAAAAAATGTTTAGGCAGTTAAAGGCTAAAGCTTGTCCGTCACAGTTTTTTCCCGTTTACAAAGGCAATGGGGGCCATCACAAAATCCAAGATGGCGGCACCCATAGAACGCAAAAGTGATGAAAAGTTAATGCCAAGTAAAAGCTCTCCCAGCATTTATTACAGCTTGGCACCGCTGGCTCATTGAAATCAACAGATTGGCAAGGATCTGATGATCCAGGCCATACCAAATCCACTGAAGAATTTGTAACAAATCAGCTTGATTCCGTGGCCGAACTTGGCGATGGAGTTGCCTTTCCAACCCGTTCCACAAATTCTCCAGTGGATTCAGGTCGGGACTTGGAGCTGCAATGGCCATTCCATTACCAACTCCCAACTGCCGACCCCCCCCCCCCCATTCCTCAAATGAAATGTGGGGTCGGGTCAGCCAGATATTCCTGTGTAATCAAAGCAATACGCGGCAGTGCATTGTCCTGCTGAAGCAGGAATTCTAGGCCGTTCAAAAGATGGTTAGAAAAGATCAGACTCCCGGGGATTCTAGTTTCAATATTTATGAATGGATGATGGCATTTGACCTGCTAAATATTCATTAAAACGGCCCGAAAAACTGTGTGCCTTCCTCCCACCCCCCCCCCCATTGGTTTAAATGCCAGCTTAATGAATTCATGAATACATAATGAGGCAATTCAATGAGGCGGTTTTACGTTGTCGTGACATGTGTTGCAAAGCGGCATGTTTATTTCAAGTAGGAAAGGATGTATAGTGTTGGAAACTTTAATATTACTGACTAAAATAATGACGCAAGATCCAGGTTTGGAAATATATTGACCATCCACATTTCAAGTTGAAAATTGTGCAGCTGGTGCATAAATCCTTTTGCAAGTACTTGGTACTTGGTTGGTGGTCCTCCGAAATATTCCATCTAGGGAATTTAAACTGGAGGTGTGGCACCAGGGTTTACAAGGTGCTGCGGCCACTGCCAGAAACACCCATTCTAAAATTTGTATCCTTGTGGAGACATTTCTTTGTTCTCGTGTAGTAAAGTGTTCAATTTTGAAAGTGAAGTTTCAAAATGCTCTTATTTTAACCAGAATTAGTTTCCTTGGCTGAAATTTGGACTTGATATCCCTTTTCTAAAACTCTTCCATTTGCGACAGATCAACCCACTTTGGAAATTCCTAGTTTTTGAGTAAAACCCATGTATCTATTTCGTGAAAACCTTGTGGAGACCTATTCATCTATAGAAATTGCCCTGTGGAGACCTTTACAATGTTTTGTTCCCTATTGTGTGTGTGTCTCCACAAGGATACGAATTTGTGGTCACCGGGGCGAACCCCTTCTCTTAGCGACAAGTGTTACTGGGTTCTTTAACGTGCATAATTACACAACACACAGGACCTACGGCTTTACGTCCCATCCGAAGGACGAAGCAATAGTGGTAAAGTGCTTTGCTCAAGAGCACAAGCACCATGTTCCCACGGCCAGGATTCGAACCCGTGTACCACGGCACACGAGTCTAACACCGTAACCACTGGACCACAGCACCCCACTGAGTGTTTCACTTGAAGGAAGATTGCGTCATTGTAGGTCCCTTTGATATAATTCAGGTTTCGCTTATAGGTTTTGGAAAATTTGTCCACGGATTTAGCTATTTTTAGTTCTGCACAGCTGGGGAGCCTTTTTATCACAGGCCACTGATCAACCAAAAAAAGTTGAATAGTTCTGCACAGTTGGGGGCCATTTTCTCGCAGACCACTGACCAACCAAACTAGTTGGCTCCCCCTACCCCCCTCACCCGTTTCCCTTTAAAGGTGCCCATCTATCACAAATGTCAACTGTTCATGTGGAAACCTGCTCTTAGCAACTTCGGCTTTGATGGCAATATTTACTTTGAGGATAAAGTAAAGCAATAAGGCTATCCAAACAATTGAAATGATCATCTATAAAAAAAAAAAATGTCTCACAAGAGGGCGCTTGTCATCTACACAAGCAGAAAAGCTACTAGACTGGAACCCTGGCCTCAAGTGATGTGTGGGGACTGGCAACCCCCTCAAAGCTTCTGACATTCTATTGGTTGCTACTGGCCTTGATGCTACATTGGATGTAGTCTGATTGGCTTTAATAGTAAATGTTAAGAACAAGAAGTTCTCAAGACAACATGGATATCTCATTGTGTCAAAGGTCATAAGGACAATGCAACGCTGGCCATTCTCGGACCCTATATATTGAGATACTGAGGATGTCCTCAAAATAATCAGCTACTAAATTTAACGGTAAGACGAAATTGCAAATACAGAAAGGAAAAAAATTACAGCTTGCGCACTGCTGTAATATTGGCATTACATAGGCTATATCAGTTGATTTTACGAGCACATAGGTCAAGAACGGAAAGGAACAGCAAAAGCTAGGAAGTTTTCAAACGAGAATGGAAAATAAAATTGCAAGAGACAATTAAGAGCTACGAATGAATGCAACAGACAAGAATAGAAAGTGTGCAGTGATGAACAGAGACCAAGTGAGATTTAAAAAAAAAGAGGAAAAGTTCACTTTTTTTGTAGGTTAAATCCAGGTCACCAATAAGCCTCTGTACTGATGACGTCACACTTTGTTTACATGTGCACTTTCCTATGGAGCCAGTGGGAGCCCATGTTCCACCATAGGAAAGCACACATGTAAACAAAGTGTACGTCATCAGTACAGAGGCTTATTGCATGACAGATCTGTTTTAATGTTTAGTGCAGACAATGGTGCATAAGAAAAACAAATACAATCCGCAAAACAGTCTACACAGTCCTACACATGGATTGAACATTATTTTGCTCAATAGGTTACGTGAGGATGGCTTCACAATCTTACCTTGCACAAGATTTAAGGCTACGTCCCAATTTCTAGGCTACGGCTAGGAATAACACACGTGGCTATGGGAAGTGTCTTCAGTGGCTTCCATGGTCGCACGTTTAATTGTGAGCCGTAGCCGAGCAATACAGATCCGGCCTAACACAGGGCAAGCTTGCAAGAGGTCAAGCAAGGTCATTTCAAGGGTCAAGGGTCATCCTTAAAAACTCAAGGAGAAAAAAAGAGGTACTCACCATGTGCCACGTAGTAAATCTTGCAGACGAGATTGTCTCTGGTGGCGTTTTCTAGCTTGGTGTCGGGCGGGTCCAGGAATGTTTGGCACAGCATGCAGACGTTGATCTTGGCACGGATACACTTACTCGCCTGGAGAAACAGGAATAAATGCATCACGTTATAGAGACAAATCTGACAATAATGGGGTGGCACCATGCTAGCGGGCATGCTTCAAATTGAGGTGTGCACAAATCCTGAGACGGATAGGCTTACTCTCCTGGAAGAAAGGTATATCAATGCAGAACATTTTGAACACTAATCTTAAGACCACAAGAGGAAGACACATTGAGGTGGTATCACACTAGTGGGCATGTTACAGAGGCACTTAAATTTGAAGTATATTGCACAAATTTTTGGCACGGATACACTTACTCACCTGGAGAAAACAAATCGGTGCATTTATGCTACAAAGACAATTCTGATTACCATAACGAGAAGACATAATTGAAGTTGTACTATTCCATGCACTGCTAAATTTGAGGTGCGCACATATTTTGGGCAGATGTAAGCATTTTACTGGATGTAGGAGCATTTACTACCAATTCAGTAATGGCATTTTTTTCTAGTCCCAGATTTAGTCTACAATTCAGATCACACCTAAGAGATATTTGGGGGAAAACTGATGCAGTTTTTCTTTATCATACTGTGTGAAATAACATCTGAGTGTTAACATCTGAGTGCTCAAAATTTAGTAAGACTTCAGGTTTTTGCACGGTGGAGAGCACATCCTGGGGATGTTTGTGAATCCACCACATGAAAGGACTGTAAGAAATCTTCGAAAATTGAGAGGTTGCTCGAGTTCTTCTCAAAACCACATAATTGTATTGGCAAACTTCTCCAGAGTTCTGAAACTAAAAGACTCCTTTCCCCAACTCACCGCGTCCGGGTGATCCACGGAGTAGTTGACGACGATCCAGGACCCGACGTCGCCTTGCGTTTGGTGGCTGAGATCCAGCTTGCGTATGTGGGACAGGAAGCAGGTGTCACGCTGCGTGGCGGGCCAGACACGACGCATCATCTGATGACAGACGAAGGTGTCTGGGGCCAAGGTCTCCAAGGACTTGCACCAGTCTAGGGTTCCTGCGACATGGTTAGAACGACAGTGTAAGCTGTTTTTTTCAAGGACTTGTGCAAGTCTATGTATAAAATGATTTTGCTTTTACACCCTTTTCAGACAAGCGTTCCAAGGTCATGCCAAACAAAACATGTCTTGAGCAACCCAAGTTGTCCGAAACAGAATTTTGTTTCAGAAAGGCAAACTTTTTGTACTAATTTTTCACTGACTGAACTCCAGATGTGTTTTGAAAGTCTGATCAATTGATTTTTCATGTGTAGTTTTTTGAATGGTTTCCCATGGCAAAGTTAATTTTAATCTTTGGAATAGCGTAGTTCCAGGCCGTTCTGGAAGACCAGTCTGACATGAGTTTACCTTAGCTAAGGGTTTGGAGAGAGGTAAGTTGGAGTAAAGTGACTTGCCTGAGGACACAAGTTTATTTTATGTGGGTCTACAATAAAGTGTTGTTTCAAAGAAGATGTTTGACTAACCATCCCAGTCCATTCTGTATTTGAGATCCCAGAACATTCGGCACATCTCATTTGCTGTGACTTTACGAACAGTGTGCGTCGCTTTGAGGGGGTCCAGGACGATTCCGTCAATCTCCTGTTCCATTTTGAAGATCTGCAAGGGAGGAGAAACAATCATCATAATGAAATTGACCTAGCCCTGGAGAGTGGTCCAATAGAAGGCATTCTTCAAGAAAATGACTGATGTTCCAGCGTCAAGCCAAACCAAAAAGTCTCCACCAGTGAGCAGGAGGTCGTGGGTTCGAGTCCCACCCGCGTTGGCTCGTGAAACTTTTCACACAAGCCCTTGGACAACAGTGAGCACAACCCAATAATAAATTTACGTCTACACAAGGCTGAAATTCAATAAGCCTTTTCGGAGTTCCAACTGCGCATTCATAACCTGTGACAACGCGCATTATTTGTCTCAAATGGCCTTTGACATTATCGCGCCACTGACTTTATAAAAAGGCTGTTTGTGCATTGTGGGTACTGTCAAAGGGCATTTGAGACAAACATTGTGCGTTGTCACAGGTTACGAATGCGCGCAGTTGGAACTCCGAAAAAGGCTTATCATACAAATACTGATTGGTTGACATCCTAATGCGGACAAAATGTATGGATTACGGGGAGGATGCTCCACCTACCTTCATTTCCCCTTCTTGATGAAGCAGATCCCAGTTGCTCTCGATGTTCTCAAAGGAGTACCTCACGTTCTCTTCCACTTTGTCGTGACACTGCAGAGAGATGGGAAGAAAGGACACATTTTGTGACCGAGTCCACAAAAAGTTGCGATGGAACAAAATACAAAATCAGAGATTAGTCAATGATCATTTCAATTCCACCCCTGCTGTCAAGTTTACTGTAATATACGGTGAACAAAATCAAGCATATGCACCTAGGTTTTATAGGCCTAGCCTTGCATTTGAGTTTCATGACACAAAACAGCTGACACAAGTACCGGTATGTAAAAATTGTGCATATTTTGAAGAAAGGATGCAGACTCGAACTTGAATCATAGTCCTTTAGTAAATGCTTTTTTGTGCTTGGTGAAGTGTTCTCATGAAACTCGGATTTCTACCCCTGTGTTGCGGTCAAGGTATCTGTTTTAGAAATGTAGGTGATTTCCAAGGATCAGTCAATTGACTGATTGTTAGAAATAAGAGTTATATAGACGGAATCGTGTTTCGTGATCAAAAGGTTGTGCATGGTTTTTCACCATTTTCTTGAAAGGTGTAATATCCACTGAGCTGAAACCTGAACAGGTTCGGTTTTGAATATTTATCACTGGATTTTCAGTGTTGTTATAATTGGTAATGAACAAAATGCATGTAACACAAATGATCTATATGCCTTTAACCCTACCACTGCCAGACGCAACACAGATGATGCATTCGGCTACCAACACCAGTGCATTAACGGCCAACTCCGAGACAATGAGAGCTACAATCCCGGCCAAAATGGTTGAGACACTTCCTTAAGCCTCCCACGGTCACCTACTCCCCCGTTCCCCGGTCAATGTTGTTCACTCCAGCTGATGGAGCACACACTGCGTCATGAGAGACAACACTGAGCAGGGGGGCCAGGGGTCGGGGGCCCAGCGAGATTTGGCCAGGACTGTAGTCTACCCGAACAATGCCACAGTTAAATAGAATTGAATATCTTGCTGCATATGGTGACCACAGACCATGAGGCATTTTAGGGCCTTGATAGTTTTGACCCGATGGATCTGGCTACATTTGGCAGGCTTGTCACTTAGTCAAGTGTTGCGTGTTGCTGCGTATTGACGGGGTTTTCTATGCAAAATACCCTGGAGGGTTAGGGTTACAACACTGGATCATACATACCTCCTGGATGAGTCTGTGAGGGTGGGGAGGCATGTCCTTGCTGATGGTGTTACTGGAGCTAAACGAAGCATCCTTGTGGGCCTGCAACATCAACATTTTAATATTACGTCAGAAAAAGTAGGGATTCCTTGCAAGAATCGATGGGGCTTCCTGACCACTGATGAGAGCTTGATGTGCTAGACACAGTGCATGCCGGTTCAAACACGTAGCGAGGGAGTACGGGCACAACTATTCTATCACTGTCTGAGGCCTGTCCTTAACACCGTGCTACTGCCGTGCCGCACCCAATTAAAGTGAGCTCGGCTGTCCAAACCAATGCATCTAGCAGGCATGCAACTGGGAATTTAATAGACAAAAACGAGGAAACTCCACACCCAAAAAGACTTTGTGCAGTATTTTTGTTAAGGCACTTATGAGAAGTTAAAAATAAAAACGAGGAAATCAGTGGATCCGAGGAAACTTTGCATGCCTGATCTAGACAGTTTGCCAGGTTTAAAAATAACTTCTAAGCAACTCAGTGCACTTTCAGCGTAATCGTATAATTGCGCCAATCCCCCCCTTCCTTCCCCTCCCATTATCAAGACTTACTGCCACGTCATCTGCTTGTTCAATGTCAGCCTCCGTCTGATCATGGATGTCCAATGCTGCATCAATGGCGTCGAAAAACTCATCCTCCTTCAACATGCTGTGAGGCCCCTCCTACAAAAGGGGTCATTACAAATGAGACATTGTTCAATGCAGATAGGACATTTGTTTTTTGTTTTATTACTCAAAAAAGAGGAATTATTGCAATTAATTTTCAACGGTGAGTAAATATGCTGTACACACTCCTCTGCATTAGAAAAGTTTTTTGAGGAATCAACTCCCTCTGGTACCCAAGTCCTGTTTTCGTGGGGTTTCAACTCTTGAAACTCAGAAAAAAATTTATTGTAGTAAAACGACCGGGGAGGGTTTATACTTCTTAATGTTTCACTGTTATAGGCATTATTTTATTGGGGTTTTGATGTGAAGAGTTTGTATCAATTACAACATAAACCGTGAATTGGTATCGATTTTACAAATATTTTTGAGTTCTGTGAGCCTAAAATTTGGAAACAAATATCATTTTTCAGGATCTGAGGCTTCTAACAAACCTCGTAGTCTGGACCCCCAAGACGTGCTTTCTGCTTGACATCCTTCAGAGCTGCTCTGTACGCTTCCACTGCCTTTTTTCTCCTGTCTTGCTCCTACCAAAGCAATGCAGTACAAAATCAATTGATCAGTGTATGAAAAAGTCACTCTCATCTAGAATACAATTTTTTTACCTTATGGCTTGAGAATGCTGCATAAACCCTAACTTCACAGGCAATTTCATGAATCCTCAAAATTCAGTCGTTGACATGCGATTTGACTTGTGACCGACTTGTGATGGACTTACGATTTGACTTGTGATTTGACTTATCGTCTGACTTGTGATTTGACTAACATGTACCATTTGATTGTGATTTGACTTGTTATTGACTTACGATTTGACTTGTGATTTGACTTATCGTCTGACTTGTGACTGACTTGTGATTTGACTTACATGCACCATTTGATTGTGATTTGACTTGTTACTGACTTACAATTTGACTTGTGATTTGACTTATCGTCTGACTTGTGACTGACTTGTGATTTGACTTACATGTACCATTTGATTGTGATTTGACTTGTGACTTGACTTATGATTTCACTTGTGATTCGACTTATCGTCTGACTTGTGACTGACTTGTGATTTGACTTACATGCACCATTTGATTGTGATTTGACTTGTTATTGACTTACGATTTGACTTGTGATTTGACTTACTACCATTTGATTGTGATTTGACTTGTTACTGACTTAGATTTGACTTGTGATTTGACTTATCGTCTGACTTGTGACTGACTTGTGATTTGACTTACATGTACCATTTGATTGTGATTTGACTTGTGACTTGACTTACGATTTGACTTGTGATTTGACTTATCGTCTGACTTGTGATTTGACTTACATGTACCATTTGATTGTGATTTGACTTGTTATTGACTTACTATTTGACTTGTGATTTGACTTATCGTCTGACTTGTGACTGACTTGTGATTTGACTTACCATTTGATTGTGATTTGACTTGTTATTGACTTACGATTTGACTTGTGACTTGACTTACCATTTGACCTGTGATTGACTTGAAATTTGATTTACAATTTGATTTGTGACTAACTTGTGTTTTGTTTTACCATTTGACTTGTGACTGACTTGTGATGGACTTGTGATTTGATTCACTATTTGAATCGTGATTCTTTTGTGATTTACTTGTGATGGGCTTGTTTTGAACAACCACTCCAGATCTTAGATGACCTCACCTTCTCAAGTCTCTTCTGCCACTGCTCCTCCCGCTGCCTCATCAGGTCGATGCAGTGAGACAAGGTTGCTAGGATACCAGCCGTGGTGGCCTTAAAGGTGAACGCCTCCCCTTTGAAGTCCATGCCCATCTGGTGGGGCTGGAAATTGGGCTTGTCTGAAAAGACGCACGAGACGCAAAGAGTCGATGGAAATAATTCTACAAATAAAAACTTAAAACTGGACAGGAACTAGCCTCAACATGTCTGCGTGCATGTCAAAGACAAAAAAGCTGGAATTACAGTTGAACAATGAACATTTTCCAACCACACAAAAAACATCACATGGGATCAATCAGATTTTATACCATAATTGCATTCTCAGTTTGTGGAGAAAGTTGGCACTCTACTCTTCACAACTAAAATGCAATTGTGCAAGTTCAAGATTGTTCCTGGGGCTTTTTTCCTGAGTTTCACCTGAGTTATTTTTTTAATAACTATTTTCCTAGCAATATACAAGATATCCACTTTTGAATGAGACACTGAACAAAAAATATCCAACAATGTTTAGTTATTGAATTATTACATCAGAAAATTCGAATCATTGGCTGCCAGACGATTTGGCTCTCGCAGGGCAGGCTCATTTGTGTGCACAATGAAAGCCCTTTTTCAGAGGGTTGCACATGCCGAAAATCAAATTAAAGTATGTTTTTTCGTTTAAACAAAACATAGAGGTTGAAAAGTTGTTGGGAGAAAGAAAAAATTCTGGTTCTTTTTTAAGATCACTGGGCATGCAACTTTCATTTTGGACAAACAAATTTTGGGTTTAATTTCATTTTCTGCAATACCCTTGTGATGAAATTGTCTGTGATGAAATTGTCTGTGACGAAATTGTCTGTGATGAAATTGTGTGTCGAAATTGATGCCATGGCACCCTCCAACTGAACTTTTATCTGAAGAAAATGCCCTACATTTACCGAATGCACATTATTAAGGGACGACAGCAGCAACACATTCCAAGGACTGCCGAGCTAATCCTCTGATAAGCTCATCAGCACCCTCCACATAACTCCATGGTGATTCTTTGCTGGTTGGGTTTTGCATCCAATTCGATTCATGTGGAAGGAATTCGCACAATTTATCCGCCTAAATGGCAAAGAGTGTACCTTTGTCTTTGTGAGCCGAGGGTCCATTTGTGTGGATGAACCTCATGTGGGAGTCAACGCGGGGCGTGGTTCCTGATTCATCATCAATGTCTTCTCCATCGTCATTGCCATCAGATACTGTCAAACAAACATGACCATTCATTCATTCATCAAGTTACATGTACGTGCATGGCCCAATATTAAAATCCCACACAGGAAACAGTAGCATTTGTATTCAAGGGTCCATGAACTAAATTTTTCTTAGGAACATATTTTGTGCAACTTTTTTACTCCTCTTCAACTGTATGAAAACTATCTGACATCCCTTTTGGGTTACTTTTATTAAAAAGTGCACTTCTTTTCACACTTAAAATTGTCCATGCTTTTCTGGACACCTGAGGGCGCTGTTGTTGTGATGTCAGAAAGACACTGTTCAGTTTAGGGGTTTTCTGTTCAAATGTGAACCCAAACATTTGCCCAGTGAAAACATCTGGGAGTAAAGTCTGCTCACTGGCTTACTGCCAGGTACGAGACAACAACGAATCACCAAAGAACAGAAAATTTACGACAACAAAATATCCAACATTCTAACAACTTGTGGTGCTGAAATAACTGTAACATTGAGATTTCTACCTGAAATGACATCAGACTTTTGCTCATGAATATGGAAGTTTTCAATAGCATAAAAACCAAAAATGCACCAAAATACCCTTGAAAATGGCAAACCAAAAATTAAAAATAAGCTTTATTTGGGATACAAAGGACTGCATTAAAACACATTACACTGCATGGGCACTTTAAGCCTTGTGCCACTGAAAAAGTATTTGATAGTGGATGTAATGCATTTGATTAAGTGAGTGCAGTTTTGGAATTAAGCGTCATGTTTTGTCTCTCCGCATCGCTGTGTTCCTACATGTACATCTGTGAACTTTTCCATTATGCAAAAAACCTCATTGGAATACTCTTTGCACTTATCTTTCACAGGGCACCAAGCCCCATGTCAAGAAAAAGTGACCGGTCTCTACCTTTCAAAATTCTACACAACATTCAAAAACCTTCTAGTTGATTTTGAAGGATTCAAGAGTTTTAGAATCGTTCTGACTGCTTTAGCTTTTCATGTCCGCTCACCCTTTACACTATAAGCTAGACAAAATATCAGCATTTTGAAACAATATGCTGGTTTCAACTTACACGGGTCGTCAAGCCACTTCCTCGGGTCTCCTGATCCTGTTGAGGCAGACTCAGCGCAGACATCAAAGTAACCCTGCAGGGCATCCACCTGACGACAGAGGATGTCTCGGAATGTCTCCATCTCGGCAAGCTTCTCCCGCAAGCCACGCCCCTTCTGCAGACAAATGGAACCAGTGATGAGTTCATATCTGTATTACAGATGGGACTTTGTGTTTAATTTTGGGAAACCTTTAGCAAATCTATTAATTAATTAATCACCGTTTAAACGTTTAGCCACTTCAAAAAGGCCCATGCCTACCCAAGTATATTGTTTGCACACGTTAACCCTCCTTTTGTTTGATCAGTCACAGACAGTCAACAATTCAATCCTGTTCCCCTGCCATGCCTTTTACACAGGCTAGTCACCAACAGTCAGATCATATTTCGTGTAGGCACTGTGACCGTCAAATTCCATCAACAGACAAAAGCATGTGACTGGTAGACACAGCTGGCTTATCAATCTCCTACAGTCAAAGCATGGCTATATCAGGCTTCACAACAATCACAGCCAGTCAATCCTGCTTCATGAAGGCAGGGGAGCACCCAACTGTTAAAAACAGTCACTTGATTTATTTTGGCTGCTGAGCTGGCCTTGTTGAAATTGCCAGCCAGACAGGGAGGGTTAAAGGGAATATACATCATTTGCTTTTGCTGTAATTTTCAGAAATGGATGGAATTGGGGGGTTGGAAATATATAGCAAATACAATTACACTGACTTTTTTGAGGTTTTGGGTTCGAAAATGCTATAAAAACCAAGAAAAACAATCATTTTTCTGTAGTCTGGTTCCCTGACTCCATATAAGAAGAAACAGAGCAGTTTACATACAAATTGGGGAATTGTAAGATCAGGGAACCAGTCTAGCTGGCTTGTACCCATTCATAGGTGTGTAATCGATTGCAAACAAGTGCGATGGTCAAATGGGGCCAGTATTTGAAAAAAAAAGCCAGTTTTTTCCAATGCTGGTCGGACCAGCGTTGAAAATTGATACAAAAATACCACTTTTCTTGAAAATGACAGTATACCAGGTGCCATGATTTTACAGGATGCTTTACACTGTCATTCACTAACAGTCCAGCAAGGTATTTCAAAATGATTTGGTAGTTTTATTTTTTGATGTTTGCAAAGGTTGTATTTTCCCTTTAATATGCATGAATACACATGTAGGTGCAAAATCTAAGCTTTGGGGGGGAACCCTACTACGGTGGTTTTCACACATCAGTAGCGCCCTCTTTTGACCAATAGTGAGCTGACATTTCTCACGTCCCGCGGCTGCATGCGGAGTCGTCATGAAACTTCAGCAATGAGAGGCTTTTCCCCTTCTGTTTCTTGGAGAAATCATAGCCACCTATCACTCTTCAACATTCAAACACGATGTAACCATGGGTCGTTTGACGTTCGGGAATTAAAAATGGCCCAAATAGTGTTTAATAAAACCAGTAGATTTTTTATTAATCTGTCAACATTTTTCAACAGCAATGTTCGGTACGTTTTGTACATAAAATACCTGGGAGCCAAGGATGATGTTCGGTGAAGCCGAATAATCAGCATAGCAGCCTTCAACTGTATCATATTATATGAGTCCCGGGGTCAATTCATAACTATTCATACAAACTCTGAAGAATGCATTCCTTGGTTACTGTTCAACCCATGTTATCTGTGATCACACTGTTGAATTGACTAGTGATTCATTTTGTGATTCAAACTTGTGATGGACTTTGGTTCTGGTTCTGGTTTTGGTTGTTACTGCGCAAACACCTCCTAAGTGGTTATCTCGCACAGGTGTAAGTTTTCATGGGAGAAGGGTTCATTCCATACTTTTAATGCTTCAATCTTTGAACCACAAACCTTGAATGAAGAGGAGGAGGCCAAACTAGCGGTGGAGTGTAGCGACAGCATGGAGCCCTGACGCTGTAGGCTGGTGCTCTCTGCCTCGGCGGCCGCCTTCTGGGCCTCCAATGCATCCAGCCACTTCTGACGGTCGTCGGTGTTCTTGCAGCGCAGGTACCACACATTGTCATTGATGCTGACGTCAAAGCGAAGTTCATCAAAGGGGTGGGCCTACATAAAAAAATAATAAATAAATAAACAAAATTACTTTATATTAAAACAAAAAACAATTTCTTTGTTCAACTTTACAATTATTATAATGAAACTACATGTATAGTCAGTTTCGCTATGTGGTTTATTTGGAAAACTAAAAATAGTAACTTTCATTTCATCTGTAAATTTTACACGACATTTGATGTCTGTGTTAATGTTTTAATATTATTCAAACAGGACGCTAACAAAAGTAAACGATTGATTGATAAAACCAATCAGCGGACATAAGAAAATTACCAAAAATACAATTTTGGTACAGAAATTTGGATCTGCATTTAAATAATTAAATAATGGGCTGTTGTCAACAAGCTCTTGATCTGAAATGCGCTGTCAGAACTTGACACACAAAAAAAGAAGATTTGAAATCAAAATCACTTTTTCTTGTTTAATTCTTATTTGATTCTTTTTCACCAGCAGTTATGGGAAAGTTCTGATAGGGAAAGCTCTGCTAGAACTTTCTCGTAAATGCTGATGAAAAAGAATCAACTAAGAATTATAACTAATAAACAGCAAAGGAATCTTCATGCAATAATTTTTTTTATTTATTATTACAACCCTAACTCTCTAGGCCCTTTTGGCTAGGAACCATCCTCAATCCTGCAGAATCCTCCAATTGCCACCATGTAAAAATTGGATTCAGCTTCAATCCTCCCAAATCATCTGTTATTTCTTAAATTTGTTCAGTGGAGTGCTGATCATCGCCTTAATGCTTCAAAATGCTCCAACAAGCACTGTTAACGGATTGGGGCAGTGCCGATGACATTCAGAAGCAGCGTAGACGATATCGAGCATAATGCGGGGCTCAATGATGCATGACTGGACATCAACAATGCTGGGTACAGCCTATGAACTCTACACAGTGCATCCCACAAAATCAAGCGACACTTTTTCGCCATTCAGCCTTAGTCCTCTAAAATCCTCCAAAAACGCACGGAGGATTTTAGAGGATTTTGGAAGGCTAGGGTTAACAGCACTACACTGTTTAAAACCCTAACTCCCTAGGCCTTTTTGCTAGGATGTAGCCTCAATCCTGCAAAATCCTCCAATTGGCCTCATGGAAAAATAGCTAGCCTCAATCCTGCGAATTCCTCTGTTTCTTGAATATGGTCCATGGAGAGGTGACCACTGCCTGAATCCTGCAAAATCCTCCGGCTATGACTGTCAATAGGCTGAGGCAGAGGCAGTGACATCCTGGAGCAGTGCGGAGGATGTCAAGTATAATCAAGGACTAAATTTATGCACGGCTGAGCATAAACAACACAAGGTCCGGCCCAAGACCTTGACACAGTGCGTACTCTGAAATCAGCAACGCACTTTTGCCATGTAACCTCAATCCTGCAAATTCCTCCAATTTGCAAAAAGGATTTTGGAGGATTCAGGGCAGTTAGGGAGTGTATAGGGTGCGCATGAGCAAGCACTGCTGTAACTATGTGGACCTGTGAACAAAAGATGTCAACACAGTGCAGGAACTCTGAAGACGATATGTGGACTCACACAGGTCCACACAGTGTTTTCCACTTCCTGAAAAAACAGTGATAGAGGCATTTTTGGGGGTTCAGGGTTATCAGTCGCAAAATGAAGAGGAACACTCAAGAAAATCACTATCGAAAATTCAGGTTAAAAGAGTGTTCATGGTGTGAGTAAAATGAGGTTTTTCCTCCAGTTTTTCTTAACTACAGGAAAACAAAGGTAGATGTATGGTTCCTTATGGGGTACAAAATACAATAGAACAGTAGACACAAGGAAGTCTTTAGAAATCTATCTTCCCCATAAGGAAGTCTGAGATTTGGAGTTGAGATTTCTATAGGAACAGAGAACAAAAAAAGGGAAGCAAAGGTCTTCCCCACAAGCACACGCATGTACGGCTGCAGGAAAGTCCACATAGTAGATACACATGTATGTAACACTTGTCACGATCATGGTTAATTCATACAAAGTGTGTGATCATGCGCGAGGCGCGTGAGAGGCGGCATGTGAAAACATTGTCTGACAACGTTTGTTCATTCTGACTGCAGGTGGCAAATTTAGAGTTTTCGTCAAAACAGTTTTGTGTCTAATTTACCATCGAAGTAGTTTAGTCAACCCTCCTGTCACAGACAGTCAAAAAATCAATCCTCTTCCCCTGCCATGCCTTTCACACAGGCTAGTCACCAACAGTCAGAACTTTTTTTTCAGCAAGCACTCTAACTAGTCCAATTCAGTCAACAGACAAAAGCAGGCAAGTGGTAGGCACAGCTGGCTTAGCAATCGCCTACAGTCAAAGCAAAGCTGTATCAAGTTACCGTACATAAACAGTCACAGCCAGTCAATCCTGCTTTATGCACATGTGTAGTAGGCTGGGAGCTCTTAACTGTTGAAAACAGTCACTTAAATTAAATGCATGTTTGCATAGGAGGGTTTAATGCAAATACTGCCAATGCAATCAAAGTTTGAAATGCAAACAATTGTTTTTTTGGTGTATTGTACAAACTTACACGTCATCACACGATGTGGTAATAAGTTTCAGAGGAATGGTTTTGAAACACTTCCTAAGGCTTTACCCTGGCAATAAAAAATACTGGCATTATGGGTGACATTTATGAGTTTTCTTCTATGTTTTTTTTCTTTACAAATGTTCTTCTGGTATATAAAATTTTCCCCACCTCCCCCCAAAATTATATTTTGTCTGCAAGCTTCTTATAAAGGAATGTACATGTACCGTATGTTTCAGGGTAGAAACTCCACAAAAGCATGCGCAGTATACCTTTAACAATCTTAACTAAACTCATAGATCATAAAGTTGGCTTTCTGACATGTCAACAATCAATTTCATGTTTCATCCATTAACATCCTGTGCTTTGGACCACAGATTTAGACATTCCACCAGATCTAATAATTATTATGCAGGGCTATTTATTACTCTGGCTTTCAGCACTCAAAAGCCATTTGGGTCATAGCCTGGAGATAATCTACCCTATGTAAAATCAGTTAGACTTTGAACTTCGACCCCTGAATAAACCAAATACCATGGGTGACAGTGTGTACAAACATGGAGGTGAGTGGCATGGTTGCTGCAGGTCGACAAACTTTTACCAAAGAACCTACTGGCTCCTTAGCGGGTCGTGCTAGTAAGTGTCAACAAGCGATAACAAGCATCAACAAAGCCTTTTACAGCAAAAGAAAGGTGTTCACAATACTCAGTGGGTTCCTACAAATAAGCTTACCTGCAAATTATTTCCAACTTATCACATTATTTAAAAAGTACGCCAAAATATCATTCTAAAGGTACGACGACAACGGTGCCCTTCTTCCAACGAAGCTGGCTGCCATCTTGTTTTTCTGGGGTATGGTACAATCGGGCATGCCCAAAACGAATTGCCGCTGAGAAAAGAAAGATGGCTGCTTCCAGTCACCGTAAATCGTTGCACAAAAAAAATCCTTTTCTTATGTGAGATTGTGAACCTGAATTTCCCCCTATTTCTTACAATAATACAACGTATAGCTTGTTTGAAGCTCAAGAATGCATTTTGAGCATTTTGGGCTTGTTGATGCTTTGTTGACGCTAATCATGTTTGCTGACGCTTGTTGACGCTTTGTTGACGCAAACTAGCAGGACCGCCCTTTGCTGCTTGTACAAATTTGTATTGGAACATGCTGGACTGTGTATCAACACGATGATCACATTTGTCAGGAATGTTTCGTTAGATCTTGTTGATTTACATGTAAGCATGGAAGAAAAGACCTTTGAACAGTGTGTGTTACTGTTGGGTTTGTGTGAATCAATGGGGTTTACACCTAGATGTGAGTGCTAAATTTTGTTGGGTTCTACAGGATGCCAAGAAGAATGGTACATTTGTGTACAAGTGGCAAGTTTGGCACCCCCCCCCAAAAAAAAATTACTTCATTTGGATCACGGGCCTTATGCACGAGTTGGCCATTTTTGTCGAGTTCCCTGGGTGTATTTCATTAACCCAAACCCTGCTGAATCCAACAGGATCCAACTATGTCACATACCCGATGGAGCCTGTTGGATTGAGCAGTTAACCCCTTGTGTACATTCCTCATGCAAAATGTTGGATTTAGCAGCCAACTGAACCGCATTGTAACGCATTGTTGGACTCCGTTGGATTCGGCAGACAACCGAAAATGAGGCACAGTGGATTGAACAGGAAAGTCCGGTTGGACTCTGTTGGATTTAGCAGGGTAGTCCTGAGAAAGTACTAGACATGCTAGGGGGTTAGGGTTGCTAACTGTTGAATGAAATGGTGCCAGACTATTTTTATATGCAGACATAATGCAGCCTTATTTTACTCTCCTTTTTTTCAATCCGGCTTTAAACATTAGGGAAGGTTTAATTACAAATTTTAAATTATTCATTGAAGCAGACTGGAATTTATTTGCAATTAACTTGCTTTCATTTCTCTTCGCAAGTTCCAAAAATTAAGATTTTACCTCACTTTCAATTTAACATGGCCGACTCGTGCATAAGGCCCATAGAGTGTCCCTCTTATCTTGGATGCTACAAATGCAGCAGAATCAATGCAGAAAATGTGGCATGTACTGTTATGAACCTATCAATTGTAAGACAAACCCCTTGACTCCAGAGTTGTAACGAGCCACTGATTTTTGTGACTCGAGTCGAGTCGAGTCATTTTAAAGAAGTGACTCGAGTCGAGTCGAGTCATTAGGTCAAGAAGGTCGAGTCGAGTCGAGTCAAGTCACAGTGTGTAGTCGAGTCGAGTCGAGTCGGGTCAAGTATTTAGCTCGAGTCAATTCGAGTCACAAATATGTGAGCACTATACAATAAAAAAACACAAAAGCGAAGTCATTTTTTTGCTTTTTAAATATTACATTCGGGCTATTACATGTGGCGACACCAAATTTGACTCTTAATGAAAATAAAAAGGGGGTGCCAGCTGATCGTCATTCAACTAATGGGGACACTGATCAAACCACGTATGTATATGTATACAATATTTGCGAAAATTCTAACGTGACGTGAACAAAAACCGGCACCGGCGTAAGTCATTGCAAATATTTTTCGCAAAGTTTTGCTTTTATTTTTGGGACTCGAGTCTCATTAGCCTTCCTTGAGTCGAGTCGAGTCATTCTGATGAGGGACTCGAGTTGAGTCGAGTCATTTACCCTTTGGGACTCGAGTCGAGTCGAGTCACCAAAAATTGTGACTCGAGTCGGACTCGAGTCGAGTCATTGACTCGAGTCATTACAACTCTGCTTCACTCCAGGGAGAAGAGCATCATTGTCCCATGGTGATTCAGATAAATCTACACACATCTCGCCTCAGAGTGGTGATGCACTAAATCATGTATACTTTGGGCATTATTTTTACCAAGCAACAATTTTTCTACCCACCCTTCACAGTCTGTAATTCACCTACTACCTGAAGAAAATCCATACACACCTAAGACACAACCTGTAAACTATTTGATGTGTATGTCACGCCCCAACTATCGCATCGGTCCCAACTATAGTTGGGACTGTCCCAACTATAGTGCGGCAGTTGGGTCGGCCCAACTATAGTTAGGACTGGAGTTGCGCCGGATGCTTCATGCTTGATAGATCTTGTTGGATTAAATGTTCCGCGGCGCTGGCACCGTGTATTCGTCGTGCATGCATGCCGCAAGGCTGGCCGGTCACGTGGTACTGCCTAGTTGGATGAGTTGTCCAGCTGCTGGGTTGATTGTCCAGCAACATTTTGCAAAATTCAAAGATTGCCATGGCCGGCCAACTATAGATGGGCCCCACCCATAGCTAATGTCAAAGGTCCCAAGTAAAGTCGGACAGTATGTAACAGATCGAGCTGTAGGGAATGTTTTATAGTCGTCGTACATCAATGTAAACTATAGTTGGGACCGCCAAATAAAAATATTGCGGTGGCCCAACTACAGATGGTCCCCACCCATAGAAAATTTCATTGGTCCCAAGTAAAGTCAGATGTGTATTAGAGTTGTAGGGAATGTTTTATTATACAAATAACGAATGTTTGTGAGTGCGATGGTAAGAATAATTTCATGAGGTGACAGATTGAATGTTCTATTCCACGAGGCGAAGCCGAGTGGAATAGAACATTCAGTCTGTCACCGAATGAAATTATTCTTTCCATTGCACGAACGTAAAACATTCGTTATTTGTTTTATACAACACCTGAATAAATTCTCGTCATTTGATTGGTAAATTATAAACTACAATTTATTTTGATTTTAAAGATGTTGAACTACCCCTTCACGAAAATGTTTGAACCCAACGCTGTAGCGCTGGCTCTTTGGAACAATACGCGCTACGCTGAACGCGCACACCAGCATGCATTTTGCACGCAAATACCGCGTCATGGAACAAGCGCAAAGTGAAACGGTATAACGCATGGGTATAACGCATGGTCGCACCGTGCATTATACCGAATAATATTATGTCACGTGATCTACAATTCACCAATCAGATGACGGGGATTTATTCAGGTGTTGTATAAAATCGTACAACAATGTACACTATAGTTGGGACCGCAAAATAAAAAGATTGGAGTGGCCCAACTATAGATTCACCCCATCAATAACTAATTTCAATGGTCCCCAGTAAAGTCAGACGTGTATCAGAGCTGTAGGGAGCGTTTTACAGTTGTACATCAATGTAAACTATAGTTGGGACACCGCAAAATAAAAAGATCGGAGTGGCCCAACTATAGATGGGCCAGCCCAACAGTGGAACTTACAGTTGGGACCGTCCCAACTATAGTTGGGACAGGCCCAACTATAGTTGGGCCAGCCCAACTGTGGAACTACAGTTGGGACAGGCCCAACTATAGTTGGGACAAGCCCAACTATAGTTGGGACCGATGCGATAGTTGGGGCGTGACATGTACACCAACATGTGTCTTGACACCCCCCCCCCCCCCCCCCCGCACCTTAGGAGCACAGCGGTAATGGACATAACACACCCTATTGCACAATTCCCCAGGGATCATGTGATCTCTCAGACAATTGTCAATGCATTTTATCCTGTCTTCATCCTGTCTCATCAATGCTATAGCATGCCTCAAGATATTTTGTCATTAATCTCACTAGTCTCTAACCATAACAATTGTCATGTTTGTAAAAAGAGGGGTATGATTCATTATCCTGATGTCGTTTATATTCATCATGGCTTTTCAGTCATAACAATGTATCAAAAAAGAAATTTTTTAACTTGTTAGAAAATAATTGGAAAATATTCGCGACTACCTACAGACTTTGCACACAACCACCCAAGTGGCATATGACGAATGTGACTTGGGCTGGGCAATTGTGTGGACTTTACAGGCGCCACGTTTGTTTTGGTTCTTAAGAGTGTTATTATTTTCTTACCACTTATTTCACAAGCAGTCTTATTATTTCCAGACTTCACAATATTCAGGCTTACAACTGGAAATTCAGGGAAAAAATGTGGAAATTCCAGACAACGCAAGACTTTGTACAGTGTTTTTCAATTTGTAATAGCATTCCTGAGAAGTAAAAAACGAGGAAATCAGTGGATCCGAGGAAAAGTTGCATGAATAAATAGCCTGCCTCATTAAAGTTCCTGCTTGAATGGTCAGCACCTGGATAATAGTTTCTTTTAGGACCCCGTTCCTACATATGTTGGGCACGATCGGTCGATGAGCGCTATCAGTCCATTGCATTGTGCTATCTGTCTATCACAACGCTATCAGTTGATCCCGCTGCCACTAGTCGAACACCTTTTCTTTCAAATTCACGGCTCTGGAAGATTTTTTTAAAAGGTAAGCAAAGTCCGAGATATCCTACAGAATCGACCCATCGTGCAATGCCATCTACCGAACGTGCAGATCGACTGATCCCGCCCAATATAAATATGCGAATGAAAACCCATTCTTATATTTCAAACTCATCTAAAAAGCTGGAAAAATGCCAGTCTTATAATGTTTTCTGACTCATCTAGACACTAGAATATCAACAGGATCAATTATGAATGTGGAAAGAGGTTAGGGTTTTGATTTATGAGGGAAATTATGGGTTAAACACAACAACGACCAAACACAATAACAACAGAACACACATCACTGTTCAAAGCAATAAAAACACTTCCATCTAGGAAAGAAGTACCGGTAGTATCCAGATGCCACTTCAGCAGTTGTGTACAAAGTCTATGGAGAGTCGAGAAAATTTTCCAAGTATTTCCTAACAAAATTGGAAATGTTTCTCACTCAGTCCCAGATTCATGTCTTTTCAACATTTTTGCATTGATTTACCTTTATTGCGCTTTGCATGCACGCGCTTTTGCCAAATGCAAATAAATAAAGGTGAACTTGTGCATAGAAATAGGATGGCGTAGCTTTAGAGGGTCTGACGATATATGAAGAAAAAGTGGCATCAGGTTGCAACATTATTTACCCAATGCATAAAAAAGACTGCTTGAGCCTGAGGCTGCAACAGTAACTTTTTAGAATGATAAACACCTTGCTAGATTTTTTTTTAATGAGCGAAACCAAAATAGTAACTTTTACCAGCACCTGAGCACAGTCAAGTTCAAGTTGGACTGCTTGAGTTATGTTCCTTGCTCTGCTCTATCATTACTGAGTTGGGCCTTGAACATGTTGAACATTGTTGAGGATGGCTTTTTCAGTTTTTGACAAAAGAAATTAGCTGTCATTGGCTGTTCAACCTTAGCTTGAGTGACTCCAGCTGACATGCTCATATTCATTCACATGTAGTGAATGAATATGAGCATGTCAGCTGGAGTCACTCAAGCTAGTTCAACCTCATTTTACCCTTCGAAGTGGCTATCGTTACGGCACTCGTTGTTTAGCGCCCTCTACGATATTTTTTTGATACGCACGCGGGTATATAATTATTTGTTTCTCCACGTTTTATCGAGCAGTGCGCCAGCTCAGCCGATAGAGGGTAGGATTTTGCACCGCGAGGTTGCGGGTTCGAATCTCAGTTTTGCACTCGAATTTTTTTCCTTTTCTAACCTGAGGCTTTGGAGGATTTTTTTTAAAAGGGAAATAAAGTCCGAATTTCATAAAGTTCAAATTCACTTTTTTCCTTCTAATTTTATATTTTCTTGTCATGTTTTTTTTATAAAAGTTGCCAGGTTGCAGTCTACCGTAACGATAGAAAATGGGAAATGCGTTACGGCTGCCGTAACAATAGCCACTGCGTTTACCCTTTTGGTTTTATTTTATTTTTTAAAAGCCAAATATGTTCCATTCTCACCTCGATATCCGCCCTCGCCAAACTGATAGATCCCCTGCACCCAAGATGAATGTCCGTATGCGCTTTGAAGTAGCTGAGCGTACCGTTCCGGAGCGAGACCCACCGGTCCTGCCACCCGTGGATGTAGTTGGTCCACTTGTTCAGCTTGTCCTCCAACTCCGGTACGCTCTCGATTTCATCGCTGTCGAAATCGTCGTCATTTTCTTCCTCGTCGCTCAGTAAGATTGCGGGGTCGTCGGACATTTTCCGCTCTAACTCGATCCTACTTGTGTCATGCATCATCTAATAAGCTCAGTTTATGTCTTAGAATGTCGAGGAAAGATGGGGAAAAATGAAGGTTTTTGGACTCTCTCCGTTCTACTCTGCTAAGGAAGGGTGGGCAGTGTCATGCGTTCAAGTGGGTAGTTTTTCGGATATGCGTACGGGGGTTGAACAAACTTTTGAAGCATTTAATAATAAATTGTATGGCAGGGGCCCTGAACGCTGCACGGGTATCACATTTACATATTTTCTCTGTTTTCTCTTTAAAATTTTTGAAATTATAAACTGGCCAGGCTCGCAAGTTCTTAAATTGAGTTTTAAATACATTAAAAAACATGTGAACTGGAAAGCTCGAATAATTAGGTAGCATATTGGAAAATAAGCAAGTTTTAAATTGACAAACGACTGAACGCCAGTCTAAATTTTGCGGTAAATAAAGAATATCCGATATGTTCAAATTTATATCATGTCCTATCACATGCATGGCATATGGGGTCTTGCTTGCATGCAGTGGGTTCAAATCTGTCATAATGAGTCATGTGATTGTCATTGTGTTTGATCTCAAGGTGAAATCATCGAGCGGGCTTTGAAGATTATGGATCTTTCTTGGAATTGTTGGTCATCAGCTCAGGACATAATAGTTTGAGAAGGTGGCAGATGTGAGGGATTCAGAGACTAGTGAGGGGAGGGGGTGGGTCCTGAGATTGTTGGGGGGGGGGCAGAGGTTATCGATAGCTCTGTGGATAAATGTTCCTTGAAATTCCTCCATGCTTGAAGGTTGAAGGGAGGCATAGGACCTATTCAGTTAATTTATTAGGGAATATCATGGAGGAATAAAAACACATAAACAAGCTTAGAGTAGATTTAAGCCTTTCTCATTTTCAGCATCTTCCTCCAGAAATTTCATAGTTGAGCCTAGTCCTAGTTAGGACTCTAAGAATCGCCTTTTTAAACATTTGGACATGGTCGGACGATAGTGATTTAGACCATGTCCAAATGTTAAAAAAGGCAATTCGTAAACGTAGTCCTGGGATTAAGTTGAGCTTATGTACTCTAGAGATTAGGCCTAAGTATAGACTAGAGAACGAAAATACACCTTTATCTTTTGGGACTTAATACCTAAACATTTGAGTGTGATACAACTTTACAACTACAAGCAGGACAAGTCACTTTATGTTTTTGGACTCATCCAAGCAGTTCGCTATTTAAAGATATCATGTTAATATTATTAGGCCCCCCCCCCCAAAAAAAGTCTTCGATTTCTGGTATGGAGCTTGCCCCAAAAGTGGTGCGGCGACGCGGCTTTTTAAAACTTTTTTTTAAAAACTTTTTTCCCCGTCAAATGTCAGCTGATGACTGCAAATGGTATAGTACCCAACTAAATTTAGTGCAAAATGTATGGGAGCCCAGAGAGGCCACATATATAAGCTTAAACTCGATCGTAACCCCATCAAAAAACACGTTAAAATTGTGCAGCAGCAGGATTCCAGTCAAACCAGTGAGTTTGGCGGTTTTGAGACATCATTTTACATTGAAAAAAACCTTTTTAATTTTGCCAGTGCGCATGGCTACGGTGACGTGCGCGCATACCAGAAACCGGAGACTTTTTTAGGGGGGCCTTATCAGCTAGCTTAATTTTGTGGAGAGCTGAGCTAGAGCTGGGTTTCGATTTTTGAACGGAACTTGTGAAACATAAGAAGAGGTGTATTAAATAATTACATGATTACCGAAACTAACATTGTCTTAGAGATATGGTTAAACCTTCTATCTTGTTAGTACAAACCATGAAATTATGTTTCAAAAGTGTTAATAAAGCTGACCTTGCCGAGAAAACAATGACAGTTTTTGCACGTTTTTCCAACAGGAGGTAGACCGGCAGTGGCGCCTAGTCCGATAAGGGCCACACAGTCTTAACCTCATCACAAATGTGAAGAACAAAAGCAACTATTTGCAATATACAGTTTTTAATTAGCATTCCGGCATATTTATAAAGACAATGGGAACTCCCTCAAATAACAACATTTATAGCCATGCACCCCTCCCACACAAAGCAATAACTGTTCTTTGTTTTTTGTAATGAAGGTCTCAAATTTCTCATGCGGATGCTGACCTTTCTAGGATTTGATCTTTAAAACAAGCGAGCAATGGATGCGGAGGACATTGACTGGAAAGATGAAGATGAAGATGAAGGAGAAAATGAAGAAAGATGGAATGAACCAGTGGAGTCGCTCCTTGAAACACGGAACGATGGTCTGCAGGAGGCAAGCCTCTCTTCAAATGTTGGAGATGACGGGAATCCTAGTGGTAACTACACTCTCATAAAACTCAAAGAAGCAAACAAACATAAGTCCTTAAAAAATAAAGAGGAAGAAAGTAGCACTCGGCGTACTTCGAGTTCTAAGTTTGCACAGTCCATGGGAAATTGGCCAGTCTCAAGTCAAGACGCAAGCTATTCGAATGAACAGTGAAGAACTGTTTGTTTGCCATTGTTCGTCCTCTGATACTTGTGACTGAATTACGATTTGAGCTGTGACTGGACTTGTCACTTGTGGTGGACTTGACTTAAACTCTAACGCTTCCCACAATATTCTACAAGAAAATGTTGAATTTATGTCTAAAGTGAAAAATCTATTAACAAAATGAAAATGTTTATTAACTGAAGTCACATAGAAAGTGCAGCCAAGAACAATGTCGAATTGAAACTGAAAATCATCAGTTTTGATAATTTATATTTGCGTCGATTCTTCCCTCCCTTTCGTCAAGTTTCAACTTCCGATGCGAGGGGCGACGGCATGATGTCCCGCATGGCACTGAACGACAACAAGGCCGGCATGGACGGATTGGATAAGGAGAGGATTAACAAGATAATCCTGGAAACTTCCAAAGGATCAAGGTGCAGCTCTCATGGCAGTAATGTGATACCTTCTTGATCGGCCAGTCCTAGGATTAAATTATATCGAAGTTGTATCGGCTCTTTTTGCAGAGTAATAAGCAAGCTAGGCCTTTAAAACCTGCACTTCAAATCAGACACATGGGAAGGGGGCGTCAGATCCCCCTCCCCTTTCTGTGAGTGAAAAATAAGATTCAAGAATGGAAAGAAGAAAGAAGAAAGAAAAACCGAAAATGAAAGAAAAATGAGAGGAGAAATCATGAGATTTCTCTGACTGCCCCCCCCCTCTCCAGCTAGGTAAGTCCCATGCATGTATGGCTTTTTTGTTATCTTTCAGATTTTATGAGAACGAACGTAAGAAAGAAGCACAGGTCAACCAACGAATAGATCGCATGAAGCAGCAGCTAGCTGGAATCACTCAGCAACAGAAAGCCGCCGCACTGGTAGAGGTAAGGACTGGACTGCCAAAATTTTGAGTTGGTACATCTCTATTGAGATATTTACTCTAAGAACCAGATCTGAACAATTTTCCAACCAGTTTTCTTTTCTTGCAAACAGGCAGTGTCAGAAACTGTAAAAGTTAGATTTCTATGTGGTGCGGTCTTGTGACTCCTCTCCAATCATTTCTTCTGTATTCAGGTGGACACCATGGCTGCTGAGCTTGAGGCAAGCAGAGATTTTAGTCGGAGCATCGTTCACTTAGACATGGACGCCTTCTATGCTGCAGTGGAGATGCGAGACAATCCTTCCTTGAAGAATAAACCAATGGCAGTGGGTGGTATGAGCATGTTGGTAAGTTTCTCCCCCTCCCCACCCCTTCCCCTGGCCACCCTCCTTCCCCCAACCCCCTCCCCCCACCCCCCTCCCCCTCCCCCCACCCCCCTCCCCCAACCCCCTCCCCCACCCCTCCTCCACCCCACCCCCTCCCCCACCCATGGGGATATATGCATTAAAAGACTTGTGGATTCATCGTTACTGAATAAAAATAGGGAAGGAAAAAAAGCGCCAAAGAGATAGCCCATGTGGTGTCTTCACCATGTTTACCACAGTGTTCAACAACAATAAAAAATACCAAAAACAGCCCTCGTTTATCACATTCACAATGTAATCATGTGTAAAATGAGTGTTACAATCTCACAGTCGTGAAATGACTATTAAGGTCTTCTATGTGTTTTCTATGTACACACATTTTTAATTTTTAATTTTTTTATTTTTAGAGTACCTCTAACTACCATGCCCGACGTTATGGTGTCAGGGCCGCCATGCCGGGCTTCATTGCCAAAAAGCTATGTCCCGAACTGGTCATTGTTCCGACAAACTTTGACAAGTACCGCGCGGTCAGCACGCAGGTCCGTGAAATTCTGGGCCAGTACGACCCCAACTTCTGCCCCATGAGTCTGGACGAGGCTTATTTTGACCTGACGGAACACTTGGAAAAGAGGAAAGAACTCTCGGAGGCGGAGAGAACGTTTGATTACGGGGATTGGAATTCACAATCAGAACCGACGAATGATGTCCAGGAGGGTGAGGAGAAGGATAGTGTGGGGAAAACCCAGAGTCATGGTGACATTTCTGAGCAAGATTCAACTCAAGAAAGTTGTGTCTGTGGTGGGGCAAATGACGAGACTCTATCGCCCAGCAGGATGCAAGCGGAAGTCTCCTCGAACACCAGCGTTGCTTGTCGCTGTGCCGAATCAACTAATAACGCTTCAGATCCTTGTCATGCGTCCCTTGGAGTTAGTAAGACTGAGAGTTCTACTAGCCATTGCGCTGTCGGGGCAGTGACTTCTAGAAAGAGATCTAGAACTTTTGGGTTCACTGTCGAAGAGGTGGTGGAGGAGATACGATTCCGCATTGAGCAGAAGACCCAGCTAACAGCCAGCGCAGGTGATTGTTGGTGTATTAAGACCTTGTGGCAGATATGTAGTCAGGTTGTCATAAGTCGATCACAAGTAAATTACTAGCCATCACAAATAATTACAAGTCATCACAAGTCAAGCATAAGTTTGCCAGTTTGAAGTTAAGTGACAAATTACTAAACACAGTGACAAAGGCGTTCCTATGTGATTGTTCATCTCCCATTACTTTTAACCTTACTTGTGATTTAATAATGGCATCTTATTAAGTGCAACGGGTCTATCACTCAGTGACGTTCATGGGGCTATAGGCCCACAATGAATAATTTCACAAAATACCAAATTTGTAAATGCTAAGTCCTAACACATATAAATTCAAGGGGAAATTTTTTTCTTGTGATTAACTTGTCGTTTACTTGTGATTGAATCGTGATTGACTACAACTCTGTCAGGCGTCCAAATTTGCTTTGAAAAGGAAGAAAATGTTCTTACATTTCATTGTAAATTAATACAAATTAAGCAGGATGTCCAAACTGTCCAAATTCAAAATGCTGTCCTAAAAGTTGTTATCCTCAACATTTCACCATTTTTCTCAGACCCAGAGATTTTCAGCCATTCTTGACACCAAATCATTGCACTAATTCCAGGTATTGCTCCAAACGTCATGCTGGCCAAGATTTGCTCTGACAAGAACAAGCCCAACGGCCAGTACAGGATACAGCCTGACCGGGAAGCCGTCATGGAGTTCATACAACAGCTGCCAATTCGCAAGGTCAAAATCTCAAGATTTTCGTTTGATTTTGGAAAAATTATTTCATTGTTTTTGCTCTACAGATATGTTTTCACTGACTAAACATCTCAGCACCTAACCATCCTGCTGTCTAAACAGTCACAGACAGTCAAAATATCAATCCTGTTTCCCTGCCATGCCTTTTACACAGGCTAGTCACCAACAGTCAGATCATATTTCAAGCAAGTACTGTGACTAGTCAAATTCAGTCAACAGACAAAATAAGGCAAGTGGTAGGCACAGCTGGCTTATCAGTCACCTACAGTCAAAGCATAGCTGTAGCAATTTACATAAACAGTCACAGCCAGTCGATCCTGCTTTATGTAGACTGGGAGCTCTTAACTCTTGAAAACAGTCACTTGATTGATTTTGACTGAAAGGACAACTTTGCACAGAATGTATGTTTGCATGGAAGGGTTCATTCCTTGATGAATTCACGACACAATACATTTGTTAGGCAGTTATAGGTAGTACAGGGAGTAACACGCAGGGCAGTTGGGGGCAGTACAGGGACTATGTGTTTAAAGCTTTTCAAAAGGTTTGTTTACGGTCGTATCTGTTAATCATAGTTAGTTAAATGGGGACATAATGATATTGATGTTGAGTCTAATACACAATCTTTTGGAAAATGACATCGACTGGAATGGGATTTGAGTTTGTCCTTAAGTCTCTAATCCTGCTTTTTTTCTACAAATTAAAACAAAAATTAAAATGAATCTACTCGTTTCAGCTGGGGCAAATTTCTTGACACTGCTAAGCACAGAAATCTGCTAAGCACAGAAAATATCTGCTATGCAAAAACAAGTTCCCAGCCAAAATGTCATGCTTTGTACATGTATACTGCTTTTATATTTCGTTGATACTTGCTTAGCTCAAAAATTTACTAAGCTTATCACCTCCATGAAATTTCACCCTGGTCAGAAACGTTTGAACACATCAGGTAAAATTTAAGTCACAGAAGTCACGTTACTTATTTTATTTAAATTTCTTAAAGTTCAACAAAGAAATTGACTGGAGCGGGGTTTGAACCTGCGACCTCTGGATTGCCATTCTGGTGCTCTACCAACTGAGCTATCCAGCCCTATGTTGGCAGTTCCCCATTTTGTCAATGTCTTTGTTCAAGGGGAGCTAGTCAGAACTCGGAAGCCATAAACCGCCAACATAGGGCTGGATAGCTCAGTTGGTAGAACAACAGCAATCCGGAGGTCGCAGGTTCAAACCCTGCTCCAGTCAATTTCTTTGTCAAACTTAAAAAGATTTCTTACAATACACCTAGTCAGTTTCCCTGTGTGGTTTATTTGAAAACTTATCTTATTTTACTTTTTCCCCAGGTATCTGGGATTGGAAAAGTCACTGAGAGGATGCTGTCTGCTCTCGGCATACAGAACTGTACAGACCTCTACCAACAGAGGGCGCTGTTGCACCTCCTGTTCTCGCAGATATCGTCTCAGCACTTCCTGAGGATATCGATGGCACTAGGCTCGACAAGAGTCGAGAGGTATGTTGTGTTCTTCCATTGTACTCTTGCTTTTGTCTAGGGATATTGTCCTCGGGATATCACCTCGCACAATTGCAAATTAGTGGGAACATGTTGATAAGAGACATAGGGGGTTTTCGAAACCTTTGCTTCGGCTTCGGCTTCGGCTTCGGCTTCGGCTTCGCCTCCTACTTCTGAATCACTGAGAGGCGAACTAAACGAAATTTTTCCAACTTTTGTCTTCATTGAATGTTCCTGAAGCATAACAGGCACCAAAATGTAGCTGGAGTCCCCGAAGTCGGGGCCTAAAATGTCATTAAGCCGAAGATGAAGCCAAAGCCAGTCGTTTCGAAAACGCTCATAGATGCAGCTTTCAGCTTTCATTTCATACTCAAATGAATATCTGGTCTTGGAAAGATGTCGTCTGGTCTTCTGCTAAATGTGCTCAGTTCATGAGTTTTACATGGTTTTGTAATGACAAGAGTGTTTAAATGCAGCATGCACATTTTCTTGAGTAGAAAAAGTATATAATTGTAGTCAGGAAACCTAATTACCCTTAATGAGTTATTGTATGAGTACAGACTTTATTTTATGTTGTACACACAACCAAATCCCTCAATCCCAGATCATTTACAAACGAAAGTAAGATGTTGAAAGAAAACTATAGAATTTCAAACTGCAAATTGAATGTTGACTTCTAAAAGTGTCTTAATTTGATCAGTTTACTTCAACAGAATTCCCTGAAAGTAGCTTGTGATGCAGTTTCTGTGTTTACATTTGCAGAGACAGTGAACGCAAGAGCATGAGCACCGAGCGGACGTTTAGAGAGCTGCACAAGCCGGCCGATCTCTACAGCAAATGCAGCGAGCTGTGCCAGGCATTGGCCGAAGACTTGCAGAACGAAGACCTGGTGGTAAGTAGAAACTATGAACTCGGGAATTAGACCCAAATTGGGATGTGAAGACTGCAATACACATCTGCTGAAAGATTATCGCGTTTCCTCAGGATACATCTTGTCTTTATTTTTCAAGAGACATATTTAAGAAAGAGAAAGGGTATGCTCAGTGACCAGTCTATAGACTCTTTGCATGCAACATCTATCTTTGAGGTATAGTTTGTGATCGCAACTCAGTAACAGAGAATACACATTAGACAATTCAAGCGTATCTCTATTGATTTTAAAGTACACATCTCAAACGGCCTTTTCATACTAGGGACTCTCAACCCGGGTTGAACTCAACCTGGGGCGGACCCAGTGCCGCCCCGGGTTGATTTTTTTAGTTTTCAAAACAGCGTTCAACCCTGCATCGTTTCACACTGGTTTTGTGCAAACCAAGTTTATTTTGCTCGGTTTCTACTGTTTTGAACCCTGGCAAGAGTTTCAACCTGGGTTGAAAATCTCAACACTGCTCTGGAGGAGGGTTGAGTTCAACCCGGGGTGAAATCAATCTCACAGTTGACGCAGGGTTGGCGCAGGGTTGAACACTTCTAAATGTGAAACGCTGCATGATTTCAACCGTGCCTCTACTCCAGTCAACACCGACATGTGTCTAGTGTGAAAAGGCCATAAGATGGCTGCAATGCAGAATTAATGATCTATTAATTTTCTGTTTTCCTAGGGCAAGACAGTAACCATCAAACTCAAGACAGTCAAGTTTGAAGTCAAGACCAAGGCGTGCTCCGTCCCCATGGCCATCAACTCGGCCGACTGCATATTCAGCGTGGCCAAGGATCTACTTAGAGCAGAGATCAACGCCTGTAAGCCAGAGCCGCTTCGACTCAGGCTAATGGGTAAGGCTCTCTGATCATGGGCCACTGAAGTTTTGTGAATGAAGAACTGAAGTTTTGTACATGTCATTGTTTGAAATACAGAACACCAGCTTCTGTTAAAAATAAAATTGTTGGCAAGGTACCTTGCTTAAAGCATCCATATGCAAAACCCGACATCAAAGTTGACAATGACATCTGCAGCGTTGAAGATTGTAAAATTGGCAAGGGAGACGGCACACACTATACCGTTTCTCATGTTGCTTCCCAAGGTTTAAAACACAAGAAAGAATTCCACTCACATGTAAGGAATGATGACGTGAAAAACCCTTGCTCATGTTTGTCTTACCTTTTTCGTCTAATCAACAGGAGTCAGACTGTCCAACCTCCAATCAAGCAGCGCCTCGACCAACAAACAAGGCAGCATCAAAGAGTTCTTCAAGAAACGTCAAAACCCTGCTGCCCAGTCTGGACAGTTACCAGAAGTGCACCAAGAAACCGGCAATGGTTACGAGAAACCGAGATCGCAGAATACAATGGTAGCTTTCTCATCTGATTCGCCCAAGAAGAGGACAGGGTCTGATGTGGTTGTTACATTGCCTTCGGAATCAGAGCCGCAACCGTCGACATCAGAACCACAGACAGAAAGTCCCTTTTCCCAAGTACATCCAAGCGACCGGAACTTCTGTCCGACCTTGGGTGATCGGATAACAGACGACTCTACGACGGGAAACAATCACAGACGTGACGAATCGGCGATGGAAGATGTTTCAAATGATGCCATAGGAACGTCCGAGTTTCTCTGTCCTGTGTGCAATATCCCGCAGCCTTGCACTGACCTGGAGGCATTCAATGAACATGTGGATGTGTGTCTGAACCGAGGGGCAATACGAGACATGCTCAAACAGCAAGGTGAGTCAGCAACAGATTTTGGACTCATCATCTGTCATATTATGTTCAGGTTATCCAATGTCAGCCTTACATGTTTGGTGAAGTTGAATGTTACAAAGTGGTCCGATGTTGACCAACTTTTGCATTTCACCAACTGAAGCAGTACTCTGTAGTACTCTCCTGATCAAAGGACCTGATTGCAGTCCAAGCATTGAACACCTCCCACCTGCTACTCATTCCCGGTCCCTGTCCTTAAACAAAGGGGGGGGGGGGGAGAGAAGGGGGTGATTGGGATGGAGAGTGGGGGGTGTAGGGTGTCAATTCCTGAAATTGAACTTGGAGGGCAGTTGCAGTTGATATCTTTTGTTTTGTCAATGTATTTTCAAACTTAAAGAGTTAATGAAATGAAGACTTCATATTTCCTTGTAATAATTGACAGCCTCTGAAGACAATCCCACTGCCAGCCGGAACTCAACGTCTTTAGCAAAAGGAAAAAGGTATGACTCCTGACATAAAGTTGGGACTACATATTAGAGATAAAGACAATGTTGCATCCTGATGCCACATTTTTCATCATTATATCATCTCAATGAAGGTCAGCCATTGCAAACACGTTGAAAAAGATAAGAATCTGGGACCGAGAAACATTTTCAATTTTGTAAGGAAATACTTTGAACATTTTCTCGACTTTCCGTAGACTTTATACACAACCGCTGAAGTGGCATCTGGAATACTACCTTCTTTCCGTGATAAACATTGTGAAATGTACCAACTTGGTTAACTCTCCCCAAATTGACACCAGTGGCTCAAGAATTTTCTGAAGGGTCTTGCTCTTCATACTAATTGCTTCCAGGGAAAAACACCAATTCTCTTTCAGTTTGATTTCTATTCTGATTTTTGTTTTTTGTCTGCAGGGGTTCATCAGGTCCCAAGTCTTCAGCCAAACGCCGGAAACAGGAAAAGACACAGACTAATACACTGGACAGATTCTTCAACTGAATTTACTTTTATGCCGTAAATACTTAAATTGCTTATCTTTGTAGTGAAGACGTTAATGGATGGCGCCTGTTGGTGGATGGGGACAAAAGCTCCCGACTTTGTTTTGCTTATTAATTGCTGAACATAAGAATTTTTCGTTTTCATGAAATTCTTTCTAGTGATACAAGCATGGGTAAATAATGATAGGAAATAGCCCAATGAGTCTTTATTTTGACATGAACTCAAATTAAGTGACAACATTGTATGTACTGTAACATGTTTTCTTAGAGCTATACATATTTCTATGCAATTTAAAATAGAATAAAAAGCCTGAAATAATAATTTGTTTTATCTATTTGAATAACAACTGAATAAACATTAAAGAAATGTATGATTTCAATACCAAACCAGACTGGACGTTTCAATGAAGGTTTGATAGAGTAATATCAAAGACTGAATCATGGAGTAAATTGAATGTTGGGAAATGCAAGTCATGTGACAAAACAGAAATTTAAATTAGTGTCCAAAAAATCAGGTTAGTGCATCGGAGGATGCAACCACATGAAATCAGTCCCGCAGTCTCTTAACCCTAACCACCCCAACCCTTCAAAATCCAACAGCATGTTTTGTTGGAATCTGTTTGAGTGAGGACTGCACTAGTAAAGTGATTATGCTTTACACATGGGGTTAGGCATACCACCATAATCGGAGTCCAACAGTTTGGGTGTTGGATTCCTAATAAATCACTCAAGGGGGTTACGGTTAATGAGCCCTTCAAAACCAAACGTCGCTGACGCTCTGCTTGATGTTATCTCGGTTGTCTCGCCTCATCTCTGTCACCATCCCCGCCTCCCCTTTAGCCCTCCGTCGCCTCTGCTGCGCCTTCTGCTTCTTCAGCAGGCTCTGCTTGACCTTTGCCCTGACCACGGACGAGTCCATTGTGGAGGTGGCGGTGGAGGTGAAACTGTCGCTGCTACGCTGCCGCGTGTGGTGGTTAACGTGGGCCAGGCTGGCTGCATCCCGATGCGGTCGGTACTGCTTGTTCAACGCGGCAATATCTTCCAAATCTTCCTCTAAACACTCTTCTCTTCTCAAATCAGCCTCTCCACCTAGCTCTGGACTCCTACCTCCGTCCTCGGATGCATCAACAAATTCCTCCTCGGCTTCATCCACAAGTTCTGGTAGCGGATCAACGCAAATTCTTGCGGAATTCTGTGTTGAATCGACAACTTCCTCTCTGCCTGCCTCCAAAGTCCTGCTTCCTACTCCATCCACGCCTTCCTCGACGGATACATCAACAACTTCTTCCTCGGCTTCATCCACAAGTTCTGGGTGTGGATCAACACGAGTCCTTGTGGATTCCTTAGTCGAAGCAGCATCATCCTCATCTTCATCCTCTTCGGAAGAAAGTCTCACATCAACGTTGTCATCTTCTTGGAGATTATTCTCATCGTCGCTGTCATCTCCTTGGAGATGACTTGCCTCTGCCTCCCCTTCTGCTTCATCCCGTTCCACACCTTCCTCTCCTCTCTGTGCAAGTATTTCCTGTTTTACGAGGACAATTACCTAATTAATGCATGTTTATTTTAGCTAGTACCTACCGTCGTATCTATGGGTTCAGATGTGCTTAACACGCACATTTCTGCTTAACACGCACATTTCTGCATTTGCAAGAAGTTGCACAGATAGTTTGTAACTTAATCTCAAGTCAGCTATCCGCAATGCTTTGCAACCTCGTTTCCTTCATAAGATTTTGTTGAAGGACTAAATTGTCACCAGCACACTTGGATAAGGGGAGAAAGCAAAATTAAACAAAAAAGGTTTACCTCGAAGGTTTTCTGAAGTTTAACAAGATTTTGTGGGGTACCTCGAGTAAAACCTCGAGTTACTCCTTCTTTAATTTTGCATTCATCCCTAAGGTGGTTGGTGCTAGCGAGGCAAACTTATCAGTTACGGGAAAGTCACAAAAATAATTTGAGACAATCTTTCAATGCTGAATGACCATATACTGACATTCTAGGAGTTCAAGGATTCGGGTAGTCGGCTAAACTTGAACTCTAAAAGTCAAATTTAAAAGAAATCTCACCTCTTCAAGTGTCTTCTGCATGTCTTTTGTGAAGCCACTCGCTGAGACGTCGACATCCAGAGAATTCTCCAGACTAAGCGGAAAGAAAGCACAAAAAATACACAAAAAATAACATTGGGCATATCTCCAAATCATTAATTATTGACGTGTATTCATAAACTGGTTTTGGAAAATGTCTGTACTGGGGCCATTTCATGAAGGGTTATGCACAAAAGTGCTTGGTAAAACTTGCCTACAAGCTAAAACGTCAAGTGATGCACACTTCTTATGACTGATTCTCAGTTGACTTTTCTTAGCACATATTTTTGAAGCAATATTTTTGCTGCGTAGAATATCCACGATATTGGGCCCCAGTTTCAAGTATAAAAAAACTGAGTGAATCCCAGTTTATTTCACTCACCAGACATCAGAGAACTTTGGGTACAGTTCACTCTCATACTGGAAACGTCGCAGGAAGAAATCGCGCACACACTGAACGTCCCGATCAAAATACCTACAGGATAGAAAATAAACCATAGCTATCAATAAATTTTCAAGATTCAAGAAATTTTCTGTTCTGAATTGGTATTTCTCAAAGTCAGAATCTAAGCTGAGGTTTGGCTAACCTTATATTAGAGGTCATTTTCCATCTTTGTGGTCAATATTTCCAAAATATTACCTCCTTTATATTGGGGTATATTTTTTTGATATGTCACATGAACAGCTGGTTCACAGTAATATCCACAAAGAATATTTAAAATCTTCAGTGGCATCGAATGGATGCCATTTTCGCCCACGACAGACTAAAAACCAACTAGGATTTACACAACCACGTGCATTTTTACTGTATTGCAAGTGGCCAAAATCTTGTTCCTTGGGTGGAGGGGGGTGGGGGATATCAGTGTCCAATCCTGTGCATAAAGTGTGAGATGGTCACTCACATTTCAGCATTGCTATGGGACGTAGACACCATCTGTGGGAAGTCAATCAGCGTGACGCGGTCCCGGTCGTCCAACATGAGGTTGAACTCGTTGAAGTCGCCGTGGATCAGGCCGTGGCTGGCCAGCCGCATGATGAGATTCATCAGGTCGTTGTAGGTGGAGGCTGGGTCAGTAAGGTCGTGGATCTGGTTCCTAAAAATTTAAGCAAGAAACGAAACAGAAATCTTACAAAAAAATTACTTAAAGGGAACATGAAATAAAATTTTGATTGCATTTTTTTTGCTTAAATCAATAAAGGATGATGTTCTTAACAATATTTTGTGTATGGCGGTGTATATTTTCTAAGATAAATGGGGGAAAATAATTTGTGAACATGTTTGGTCAAACTACTCCGCCCCACAAAGGGAAGCTTCATTAACATAAAACTTCGCGAGGGGTATGACGCAAGCGAAGGCAGAGACTTGCCACGCTGCGGGGGCACCGGCATTGCGGCATGCATCATAATACATGTACATATACATTGCGGCACTGAAAGTTTTTCTGGTGTTTCGTTCGGAATCGAGGAGAAATAACACCCGATTTTCGGCCATGCCGACAAGGTGTGTGGCTGCTGGGTGTAGCAAAACTACCAAGGATGGAGTAAGCCTTCATTTGTTTCCAGTAAATCCGAAATATCGGAGCATTTGGAGAGCCAAAGTGAAGGTAAATACCAGAGCAAAGTGGTCCGGGCCCAGTGAGTTCGCGGCCCTCTGCGCTGCACTTTGAGCCATCGTGCTTTGATGCTGGTCTGTACAGCAACTTGGGCATGCCCCTAAAAAAACATCGAGTCAGTGTCTGAATCATTAGAACTCTGATTCGAATCGGACGAATCTGTACCATTTTCATCGGATTCGCTAAGGAAAGAAGAGGACGGTCTTCGGAACTTTTACGGTCATGACGGTCGTCGTTGTGTTCATTCGGCAACGGTGGCACCGTGGCACGTCCACGTGTACTAGTACATATCCCATGTAGACACATTCGTACGTGTGCATATAATGCCACGTACGGGTACGCGGCGGCTGCACATACACACAGCACAGTAGCTTCGCTAATCCGTCTCGTACCCAGACGTCATTTACGGGCCCTGGATTTCTCTGCCTTTGTTTATGTCATGAACAGCGCCCTCATTTGGACTTGCCGCGAAAATTAAAAAGGGGGGGTTCAATTTTGGACGGCAAATTACCACACTAAACGTACACCAGAACCAGTTCTGCTTTTAATTCACATTTAATACACATAAATGAATGTATATATAAAATAAAATACGTTATGAAAATTTTGGACTGCATGTTTCCTTTAATACCAACCCTGCAGGACCAAGGATTGTACATGCTGTCAAGTCCATTACAAGTCTGGTCACGAGTAAGTTAAACTTCAGGGATAGTTGACTTGTTTGATGTTGTTGCACTAGGCAGTCCTGCCACCTTGTAGTTTGCATTTGGCAGGATTTCAAGCCAAAGTACCCTGTATGGTAAGGCCGAGTAAAAAAAACCCAGATTTTGTCTCTGCCCGCTTCCTTTTTTCCAAACTGCCTCTTTTTTTTTAAATTCATACATTTGCAATTTATTTTGCAAACATACTGTCAATATATTGTATTTTATTGGTTTGTATAAATTTGTAGATGTGTAGAAAGGGTTAGGGCTCCTTAGGACACAATTTCGTATCAGCAAAAGAGTTGGGAAAATAGAAGAATCCATTTTGCCATCATGGAAAATCCACCATTTGGCAAAAAAATTCAAAAAGCGCCTGCCTCCTTCATTTTTTTTAAAGGACCATACGGGAAATTTCATTTTTGTTAACCTGGCCTTAGGCCAAAAAATAAAGTCTCCGGTTTCTGGTATGGAGCTTGCCCAAAAAGTGGTGCGGCGACGCAGCTTTTTTTTTTTACCTGATTTTTTTGCCTCAAATGTCGGCTGATGACTGCAAATGGTGCCCGACTAAACTTAGTGCAAATATATGGGAGTCCAGAGAGGCTACATAAAGCTTATTCTCGATCATAACCCCATCCAAAAACACGTTAAAATTATGCAGCAGCAGGATTCCAGTCAAACCAGTGAGTTTGGCGGTTTTGAGACATCATCTTTCATTGAAAAAAAAAACTTTTTCATTTTGCCGACGCGCATGGCTACGGCGACGCGCATACCAGAAACTGGAGACTTTTTTTTTGGCCTAAGGGGTTATGATCAATTATGGCTCACACAAAGGGGGAAAAAATGAGTGACCTACAAACATCTGATTAACTCTCTTAATGCCAATCTCAGAGCAAACTGAATAAAGACAACGTACTGGCACCTATCACTTACAATGGATAAGCGTTCATCAACTCCATTACCACACAGTGTCTGTTGAAGTCCGCAGGCTTGGGAACCGGAAAACCGTGATCATAAAGTGCCTGTGTGTTTTACAAATGAAAATTGACATTCAAGAAAATTAAAAAACAACTATATATTAACTTATAATTGAAAAATAAACTCAGTAAAATACATTGCTTTTCACATGAAATTTTAAGTCACATTGTTCACTCTCTAAAAAATCATGAAGAATTGTGTTTTAAATTTTTCACTCAAGAAATGCTCAGGGCCTCGTCCTTGCCCCGAGAATAGTCTGGAGAATTTTGTCGGACAAAAAGTGAGTAAAGTTGGGCTTGATTTGGTAATAATGAAACTTTACCTTCATGAATGCGTATTCTTTCATAGCAGCTAGTCTGGAGAGGTAGAGCCATGATGCATGGCGTCGCTTGCCGAGGTAATCCCGCTTTTCCTTCAACTTGCGGAAAGAAGTACGTCCCAACCTGGACCGAGGGGAAAAACATTCATCAAGATTTATTTATACAGTTTCCCTGGTAGTGTTTTACTGTCTTAACATAACAATGCTTCCCTAGGACACCAAAGCCTCAGTTTAGGAACAAATAACCCTAAACTCCATATAAACAAACTAAGAACCCGACAAACAAAAACAAACTATTCCAAGTATTACACAATGATATGTACCTGTGCAATTTCAAGGCCAGCTGTTCCCCGTCTTCATTGGCAACAATGTAGATATCTGGAAAAAAGGGAAAAGCAGAGCAGCGTAAACACAATTGAAATAAATACTTTTGTGAGATGAGTTCTAGGGTACAAATTCTGATTGAATATCTATAAGTATCTCCGAGTGCAACACAAGTGGACTTAATTCAAGGGATCAGATCACAAAAGTTAAGATGTGCCCATACCAATTTACAGGAGTGTGAATATATCTTTATTTATTATGTGTTTTTCTTTGTAGAATGCCATGGTCCAGTGGTTACGGTGTTTGACTGCAGAACGATGGTGCGTGGGTTCGAACCCTGCCTGGAACATGGTGTTTGTGCCCTTGGGCAAGACACTAAACTACAATTGCCTCTCTCCACCCAGGAGTATGAATGGGTACCCGTGAGGGTAAAGGACCGAATGTGCGCTGATATCGGCTACCGCGTGGTTTCGTGGCCCGATGAATGGGGGAATAATTGTGTAAAGCGCTGTTGATATCATGAAAAGCGCTATATAAGCATTATTACATTTTTTTCTTTTTTAACCGAAGAACTAGTTCTGTGGGAAACTGAATGAATACAGAGACCTGAGCCTGTTTTCAAAATTTGGAAACACTGTTGATGGTTACCGGATTCTTTGCCGACTCCTATTTGGTTTCCAACTGACGTCAGTACATCCCTTGCAGCTAAAGCCTTCAGTGCCAGGTAGTCATAGCCTGGATACGTTAGTCGATAACCTGGATCTGGAGAAAAAAAATCCAATCTTGAACAACATGCTGTTCAATATAACTCCCTCTATAGTGTTTTTAATAATGGGTTTTGCCCTTCGCCGACATACTTTTTGGAAAGAATGTAGTTTCCCGACGCCACTTCTTTGGCAATGTAAAAAGTCTATGGTGAGTCAAGTGCATTTTCAAAGTATTTTCTAAAAAAATTGGAAATGTTTCTCTCCATTGCAAACATGTTGAAATCTGGGACTGAGAAACATTTCCAATTTAGTTAGAAAATACTTTGAAAATGCACTCGACTTTCTATAGACTTTGAACACAACCAAAGAAATGGCGTCTGGATATTACATTCTTTCCCTCGATATTATCTGCACTGCTTCTGAATGTCAGCGGCACTGCCTCAACCCGTCAACAGTGATTGTTGGAGAATTTTGAAGGTATGAGGCAATAGTCAACCCTCCGCTGAAGAAAGTCAAGAAACAATGGATGATTTTGAAGGATCATTTTACATGATGGCAATTGGAGGATTTTGCAGGATGCTTCCTAGCCAGAGGGCCTAGGGGGTTAGGGTTAAGGTATCCAGGATCCAAACGTGGAGAGGCAACAGGAGACATAATAGCAAAGGGGGGGGGGGGGGGAGATATGACCCTTTCTGCCCCCCCCCCTTCAACCATAATGTCACATATAGTGGCTGCTTACTTCCCGAACTAGAAGGCAGTGGCTGCTGGTACTTACATCTTCCATGTTCCCATGCAATCAACTTGTTGCGAACCAGTTCCTTGAGAAGCTTGTAGCAGCCACCGTGTCTCAGGTTTGCGATGGAAGCAACCAGCGATCCGGGAACAATCTCATGGTTCTTCATTCCCATCTCCAGCTGAACGGCCAAAGATCAAGATAACTTACGATCAGTAAACTCTTTAAAAAACTCTTAACGGGGGGCCATCTGGCATTGTCGGCGCGCGCCTGGACAGCGCGAAGGTCCGGGGGGGGGGGGGGGGGGGGGGGGAAAATTGTAACTTTTTGGTTATAAGTGATAAAAACCTGATTCAAAATCAAGTTATTGTTTATTGGAAAGATTGTTGCAACCTGACGCTGCTTTTTTTTCTTCATATAGGCCTTGGCCCTATCATCTCAATGTAGGTCAGTCATGAATTGCAAAAATGATAAGACATTTTTACCTTATTGCTTGCTATTTAACCTCTGTGAATATTTTTGGTGTCATCAAATTTAATCCAAAATTCAAAAACGGTGGCGTCCGGAAATTGGGCACAAAATAGGCCAAGTGAAGTGTTCAAATTTCGGAAAATTCCAAATTAACATTGAAATTTTTTTGTAAAGTTGATAAATTCTGATAAACCACTAATATTATCTGTACTTGCATACCCAACTAGAAGTTTGTCAGAAAATAGTTTTATCTTAGGGGGCATTTTCAAAGGGTTCACTGTACACTGCGAAATATAATCAGAAAATCATGCCGAAATAAAAATTTTCCTCTATTTTTGTAACAGGTAGGCCTAGATAAACTCCTGATTAATGAAGTGTTTAGAACTTGATCTTTCGCCCTAGCTAGGCGCTATAGGCGAACAATCAAAGTGTGCCACGTTAGGGGCCGCGCCACGTTAGGGTAGGCCATACTCCTAGAACTATGAGGCTCCGCGTGAGCGGAGCCTCATAGATCAAGAAGCCCGCAAAATTGCCTGCAGCACAAAACACTAATAAAGTACAAAAACGTCCATCAAAATGCAGCCATTTCACACAGAACCGCTGCACAGTTTGCCCCTATACTCCGTACTTTATCTCTTGACATACTCACGTATCTTGTGCGGAACTAACATACTGACACTTGAAACGTGCACGCATATGATCGAGCGATGATTTTCGGTTCGCTCGGAGCGCGCCGCGGGGGGTACGGTACAAGCTAAATGATGTGCATGCGTACAAGTGCATGTACCGTACCCCCCCGCGGCGCGCTCCGAGCGAACCGAAAATCATCGCTCGATCATAATGCGTGCACGTTTCAAGTGTCAGGTTGGCTCAATGCGGAAAGGGCATATTTTTCATCATTTTGGCCTAAAAACCGACAGAATCCACCTATGTTAGTTCCGCACAAGATACGTGAGTATGTCAAGAGATAAAGTACGGAGTATAGGGGCAAACTGTGCAGCGGTTCTGTGTGAAATGGCTGCATTTTGATGGACGTTTTTGTACTTTATTGTTGATGTACCCTAACGTGGCGCGCCCCCTAACGTGGCGCACTTTGATTTTTCGCCTGTAGCGCCTAGCTAGAGCAAAAGTTTTAACTGAAATTTCACAGAAAGTGAAATTTCATCAAGTTATAAACACTCCCGTTCATAAATCGCGAATTTATTTACCCGCTACAAAGTTAAAAGAAAAACTTATTTTGGCGTGATTTTCCGATTTTATTTTCAAGTGCAAAGTGAACCCTTTGAAAATGCCCCGAAAAATAAGAAAATAATTTTGTGACAAACATCTGGCTGGGTATGTAAGTAGAGATAATAATGATTTATCAGAATTTATCAAGTTTTCAGAAATTCTTAAATGTTAATTTGGAATTTCCCGAGATTTATTTAAGTGCGCCACGTTAGGGAACACTCCGCCAAATTGTGCCCAATTTCCGGACGCCACCGTTTTTGGAGCAACTATAGAATGCAGGGCCACGCCGAAGCAAGGTTTTTTATTTTGCCTGGAGGCGTGGATGGAATAGGAGTAATAGATATGCAAACCTGCAAAAAAGTGCTAAGTACAGCGAAGGAATGCACTGCACTTGTCTTCTAAGCTTCTCATGAAGGATCGGAAGGGAGGGCGTGCTTGTAAATGTGTTGGGGGCACTGTCTGGAGCGGCGGAGGCGCGGAGTCTTGGAGTCGCAGAATCGCGGAGACGCGGGGCACTGGAGTGGCTAGTGGCGGAGGCGCGGAGTCGCAGAGACTCGCGCCGATAGAGGGCGCAATTCTCGGCGGAATTTTTTTGAGAACGAAGCATCCATATCCATTTTAAATGGGCGGGCCAATTAGGAAGGGAGGAGGGCGACGGGGCACTGTCTGGAGCGGCGGAGGCGCGGAGTCTTGGAGTCGCAGAATCGCTTTAAATGGGCGGGCCAATTAGGAAGGGAGGAGGGCGACGGGGCACTGTCTGGAGCGGCGGAGGCGCGGAGTCTTGGAGTCGCAGAGACACGCACCGATAGAGGGCGCAATTCTCTGCGTGACGCGGGGCACTATACACTGGTGGCGGAGGCGCGGAGTCGCGGAGTCGAGTCGGAGAGACACGCACCGATAGAGGGCGCAATTCTCTGCGGCTCCACGATCGATTTTCGGAGGTAGGTCGACTGCGGTTCCACAGCGAAAAATACCCTACATGAATTGGCACGGAACGGCCGCGAGAGGGCGTCACAGCGATCTCATTATATGACGTCATCATACTGACCATAAAAGGCAGTTTTCATGAATGAAACTGTTGCGCATGCGCACATGCTTCACGTCTGTACCGCGAGTCGTTTCCACTTCGACAGAGTTCACGACGATCTTTCGAATGGTACCAAAATCGTATGAATTCGTGGTTTCCTTCGACCTTATATTCCATTTCTTTGGTGTCAACCTGAGGCGCAACAACTCGCGGATTCCTTGGTGGTATTTGAATTTTGGTAGGTCATATTTTTGTTGCGATTTTAGTGTGAAACCGCGCCACTGGCTGAAGGTGTTCGTTAATCATTGGAAAATCATATGCAACGTGTTTTGTGTGTGGGGGTTGAGTGTATTGAGTGCGCCACGTCAATATGCATGGCGACGACGACGTTGATGCGTACGTCGTACGTCAAATCGTGCGTGGCCGTTACACATATACGACCTGACCGCGATGCGTACAGTCTATCTAGGCGGCGCGGGCGCGGTACATGCACGTGCGGTTTGTTGAATGTAAATTGACATTCGTGCAAGCGATGAAATTGCAAGATTCAGATTTAATACTGATTCAGATTTGATAATCCAGGCGTGCGATTTGTCAGGATTTCAAGAATTTTTGTGTGGATTTTTCCTGATTTCAGGCATTTTTGACAGGATTTTTTCTTGTAAAAACTTTTGGAATTGTTTGGGGTCAGGATTTCCTGATTTAATTTAGGAACTTTTTGTCTTTTTTTTCTGATTTCTGGATTCTTTAACTTTAAGATTTTTTTTTAGGAATTATGAATTCCTGAATATTGTTCACTTTTTAAAGTTTATTAAGGACAGATAAAGAGATGTAAATTAAGGAAGCGTTATACAAATTAAAACATTAATAGACCCTTAATTGCTTTTTAACCATCATCGGCGACCTGTACCTTCAAACCCTTTACCAATTATTTTATGGATTTTAATTTTTTTTTCAGGTTGGCGGGAAGTGTCGTGCCCTTGTCGTGGTGTCGTCTTTCGGTCCAGAGTTTCTACATGTCACCTGAAATTGCAGCACCATGAAGAGGTGGAAGCGTGCCTCCTGTGACAGCGACAACATTTAATACATTGCCGTTATTAATGAATAGTTTTCCCCACCCAATTTTAACAAAAAAATATTTTAATGTCGTGCGACATGAAGTTTTTATTTCAAACTGTCTTTATCGCTCCCCATTTTGACGGTAGCATAACAATTCAAACAGAAGAGCTTACATGACTACACAAACTAATACAAGTAATTCAAAACTTACCGTTATTCGAGAGAAAACGTCTTGGAGGCTATGCAATGGGTTAAGCCTTATCTTAATTAGGTTTGAACCTGCCATTGTTTCCCTTAATCCTGCTGAGCTGAGTGGGGTGTGAAGGGGGCTGTTTATTGAGGAGGGAAGTCACATTGCTGTTTACGTGTTGTACATGTAGGTTAAATTTCAGTCTTATCTCTTAGACCTAATTATTCAGGTACCGGTTGAAACCACAAGAACAATGCTATACACATAGAAAACGGGTTGAATGTTTATTGAAAAAAGCTAAAATTTACAATTACAATAATGCACTTGGTAAAAATAAAGCCCTGGGAATGGACAGCAAGGAAAGCACTATTGTGAAAAAAGTTTATAAACAATCTTTAGATTTAAATGTATAACTTGAGTGTTTGGGTCAAGAGATCTTCCACTATTTTTCCAAGTGAATTGTATACTAACCAAAAACAACCAAGTTGTAATACACAAAATATGAGGTATTACGAACATGCGTATAATAAAAATGAACATCGGCCAAACTTTTCTATTAAAAACGAGTCTCTGATGTCTCTGAATTTGTATCCCGAGTCATTTCTTTGTATATTTTAGACAACTAAGAGTTAGAAAATATAGTTTAAAAATGCTCCTATTTTAACCAGAATTTCCTGGGATGAAAGGAGGACTTCCCTTACTTAAAATACTTCAATTTGCGACTATCAACACGCCTTGGAAATGACAATTGTTTAAATAAAATCCGTAATCTATTTCGTGATAAACTTGCGGGAGGTCAGCCCGCTCGACAGTGCGAAGTTCTCCGCGGCTCGGAATGCACCGGCCGTACGTGCCTGCACAGGCCGTGCGTGCGTGCGTAAACGAATCCCTGACATGTGGTTTCTGTGACGTCACGGGCCCGGCCGGGCACGTCCACCAATGAGCGCCGCGCTTGTCGCCCACGCCCCCATTCCCATCCGTGTTACACGGCCAATGGGGAATTTTTCGCTGTGGGTTCCACGCCTCCACGCAGCCGTACGGAGGCGCGGATGTAGAGTAAAGTGGCCCTGCATTCTATAGTTGTACCCCGTTTTTTAATTTCGGCTTAAATTTTATGAAACCGAAATTGTTCACAGAGGTTAAACAGCAAGCATTAATAAGGTAAAAGTACCAGTATTTCACTGCATGAATTTGAGGTTTGTCAACAAAGAGGTTTGGCAACACTACACGAGGAAATTTGGGTATGCTTCGAAGTGCGCCACGTTAGGGTACACCACCATATTAGTGTTTTGTGCTGCAGGCAATTTTGCGGGCTTCTTGATCTATGAGGCTCCGCTCACGCGGAGCCTCATAGTTCTAGGAGTAGGTAGGCCATGGGTAGGCCTACATCAACAATACACGACATATTCACGTGTGTCGGAAATACACGTGTACTGGTTAACTAGAGTGAAACATCCCCACATGATGATGGGCAGTAAAATTTAAGTCAAATTTATCCAGTTAAAACTGAAGGTTTTCATCTAACTTACGGCAGTCAGTACGCGAAAATCTTCCCGCGTGAGGTACCGTAGCATTGTAACATTCAGCTTTCCCATCCTGATGTGTCAAAGGTTTCTAAAACTCGGAGAAATTAAGACACATGCTGTCATATCACGCACCTACGATTGGAAAGTCTCAAACAGCGCCCTCTATGTAGCTCACCGGCCGGAAAAGTACAGCGCATGCAGTCGTGCGAACGAATTAGGAATTCGTGCGAACGAATTAGCAAATTCCCCCCCAAAAATCCACCCTGTCCCTTCCCGGGCTTCATATTCCTACGAATTAGGAAATCGTGCGAACGAAATAGGAATTCGTGCGAACGAATAAGCAATTCGTGCGAACGAATTAGGAATTCGCGCGAACGAATTAGCAAATTCCCCAACTCGCAAAAAAATCCACCCTGTCCCTTCCAGGCCTGTCTTCATACATGCAGTCGACAGTGGCCAAAAAGTCACGCTGGGTCCCGGAAGATTTTTATAGGGCCTCCCCGCCTGTGACCGTCTCCAACAAAGAGTAATTGTTAAACAGTCTGAGACGAACTTCACACAAGCACAGTCATCAATGACTAGTCTTAATTTTGTCATTGCTCCTTGTCCATGATTTCCTGAAGAACTGTAGGACGGTTTGCAATTCTATTTTCCTTTCTTACAAAGGGTGGATAAAATCATAGTTTCCAACAATAACGAGGTATAAAATGTTATTTATAATAGTAAACAAAAATGTGAGAAAGCCAATTTGACACTGGTGTCCCAGCGATGTATTGTTTATTTTACGGCGGCGGGCCAAGGGCATCATACAATCTCCACTGTCGTGTTTCTATTTATGATAAAAGTCATGACAGGACGAATGTGTTTGCATTAAGTGCGAGCTCTTCACAGAATGATTTTTTCTCTTAAATTTTTTAGTTTGTATGCTTTGTTTTAACATGGTTTTAACGAAAAAAGAAAAAATACCCCATTCCGATTTTGGGCATCCGCAACCTCTGAAAAAAGGGCCGTCAGTTTGTGCACTAATGAACCCGCCCTGCGAGAGCTGAATTATTGTCTGCCAGCTAAGTTAGAATTTTGTCAAGTAATAATTCAATAACCGAGCTTAAGTGGATTTGTTCCGTTCAATGTCTCATTCAAAAATGGAAAATCAAAGAACGTTACTCTTGATAAGATGTGTTTGGTAAATTATGTGCAGTATGGGCCTATGATTAATACATGTATCAGCAATAGGGCACACTGCGGACCTGGTTCACTGGAACGCACTGGTTCACTTTCGATCGATACTGTTCTTGGGATAGCGAGAACCATGCAGCAAAATATTCGCCATAAATTTCGCATGAATTTAGGTATTTCTATGTCGCGGTGCGCTGATTTCTATTAGACCCCCTGTAAATTTTCTACGAAAGAAAAACAAATGTAAACGAGTTCAGAAAACAGATACCCCAGCTCTTTTTTTCAGAGGGTTGTATATAGATGCCCCCCCCCCCCCCAATAAAAAGAAGAGGGGGAGCCTGAGGGGGGAGATTATGGATGGAATAAAACATACAAATTGAAAATGTATTCATAGAAAAAAAAAATCGAATTTGTTGAATTGAAGATCAAGGGGATCGCAACTTTAATATATTAATCCAATAATTATTCTTAATAGAATAACAGTCTTGATAAGCGTGATGGAATAATTATTCTCAGCTAAAATAATTCTTAAATATTTCAGAGTTAAAATTTCTGTAAAATTTGAGACTGCATGTGCATGAAAGCTAGGCACAAGCATTCAATACGAAGCATTTTTGTATTAAATTCCCGTTAGCTCCAACAAAACCAGATTTAAAAAAATGCACAAAATATAACAAAATAAGTAATAAAGATATTGCATAATAAACAAAAAAAGGTGACAGTGACACGCGGCACTGGTTAAATGAATACTTTTTCGAATTATTAAAATGTTATACATACTACAAATCAAGAGCAAACTTGGACACGGGAACACAAGGGCGGATGGGGGGGGGGGGCCAACGGGGGTCATGCCCCCCCCCCCAAAAAAAAAACCCCGAACCCAATTTGTTTTTTTTTAGTAACGTCGCAATAAAGGCAGGCACTGCGTACACCACTATCTTTTCCTCAAAAAAACCCCCAAACATTTGGTTGAAGTGGTCAGAAATTGCCTCGGATCGCAAAGGTAACGTATGTGCAGTCACTTACTTGATGACGAGCAGAGCACACTGTTCGAAACCTCAAGTAAAACCAACTGGTTCTTCTCAGAACCACACAACTCACTATTAAAGATATATCATTCACATGGTGTCACCGCAAACCTCCCATTCGCTACTAATATTTATGCAACATTCATGCAAACATCGGCCTATTTACAACATCTTTATGCAAGGCTTTTAAACTGGCCACTCTCAAATCATTTTCCCTTTCACAAACCCTACCAACCATCTTTACATGGACTATAGTGTCCATAATTATGGTGTGTTCTTTTACTCTTACATCAGTACTGCTTGTCAAGAAAACAGGCAAAAAGAATAAATTACAAGTTGAAGACACGAAATTGTTGTAATGATTCCACTAACTGTTGCTACTACATACAAAAATAATGTGACATCTAAAAAAAAGTTCAGGAATAATTAAAAGTTTCAGACACGAATTGCTGGCAAGACCACCCACTGACACATGTAGGCACAACAAGTTTAATTCAACAGGCATGCAGAAGTCACAAGACATAGACGTTGATCCATTTTTCAATATTTCTGAGGATACTCAGGATAGCTCCCTGGCCCTGCTTGCTGAGGCGGGTGAGCAGGGTCCCAGGTTGGGGCACTCGCCGGCAGATTGTAGGTCGGGTATTGAGGGGCGTACATGAGTTTACCAAAGGTGTAGTCGTGGCCACTCTTGCTGGGAATCTCCTGGAGTCCTTCCATGGCGACTTGGTAACTCGGGGGTGGCGCAGCTAAGTAAAGGAAGAAGAACAACAATGCGCTGTTACAATTTTACAAATCTCTCTTTTTTTTTTCTTTTTTCTTTTTTACATCGGAACAGAAAAGGGATCACGAAATTCAGCCTCTACAGTGTGTCTAACAAAAAAATGCAAACAAAACATAACAGAATTCTAGATGTAGTATGTGTAACTAAAATAGATACTATAGGTATGGTTTGAAAGATGCGCCTTTCCACTTTAAAATGAGACATCAAACGTCCATATCTGATAATTTTTGACAGAGTTATGTGTAATTTCCAAATTTGACCATGGGACCAAGTTTTCAATTTTAGGCATTGGGATGAAGGTAGCCTAATTGCCTCTGTGTGGATAATTGCCTGGCCTACAAAAAAAAATGTGTTAAGCGAGTAAACACAATACATGTACTAAACACTTACTTGCTATCAGTTTGTAAACATATTTACATGCTAAACATTTTTAGCATGAGGTGATAGCAAGATCATGTTTAGAATTGTGTTTACTCGCTAAAAACATTTTTTTTTTGGAAAGGCGTATCTTTCAAACCATACCTATAATTATCTATGTTGGTTACACATTCTACGCCTGGCATTCCGTTATATTTTGCTTGCATTTTTTCAGACATAATTTGAAATAAAAAAGCTTTTGGGTATGATCAATTTCACTATTAAGAACACGTACACGTCGCTTCCGGTTTGATAACGTCATCAGTAAAATGCGTAAAATGAATACTGATTTAGCGCAGAGAGCCTACGTGTTCACCATGAAGTGAAAAGAACTCTTACAAATTAATCACATAACATCCAGATTTTCAGAGTATTTATTAACACCTAACTTCCGGTTTGATGGCATCACAGCATTTGGAAGCCCAAGTTTACCCCCGTAAGGAATTTGTCTTCGCAAATCAAAAGTTTAACGAGACATGAATTTTTCAGATCAGATCAGATCACAAAGTTAATGAACCTGACTGTTCACTTTCTGCATGATTTATAGATGAAAGAATCTTGTTATTTTTGGGAAAGAAAATCGCTTGTAATTTTGATACCTAAAGACGACAACAGAGTAATTTGCACACCTCAGGATCAGGGTCGATCTTTGTTCAAAGTTTCATGTTTATACCTTGTACCGTTGAGAGAAAAAGTCACGGAGAATTATTATCAAGAAAAGGAAGAAGAAAGAAACAAAGAAAAGCCAACACAATTTTGATTGGGTGATCAGGGTGAGCACCAATCACGACATGGGCTTACTTGCAGCGCTAGACGACGGCTGTTCGCTCACAACAGCGGATGGATCCGGGTACTGAGTCTGGTAAAGAGGCACTGTCCCTATAAAAACAGGCAACTTCACCTCAGCATCCAATGGGGTGTTACTGACGTCACCTTCAAACTGTCAACAAAGGAAGAGTTGATTGCAGCCAAATATCGATATTCAATTTAAATTCTTTGCATAAACACACGTAGATCATAATGGTACACTCTATGGTATATATATAATTGCCTTTTGAGAAATTGTCGATCTTTTTCTTCGGGAAGATTGTGCTGTTGAAGCATAAGCCTACAGTGTTAATTGTTGGGCCGCCGTTTTATACTCAGGAAAATAGAAGTGTGAAGATTTGTTTTCATTTCAGATAATATCAGGGCATATACCTGAACCAGATACTCAATCTTGATGATGTTGCACCCCTGGGGCCCAGTCGGAGGAATAGGAGGTAAGACGAGAGGCTTCCAATTCAGGCGGGCCACCTCCCTTCTCCTACATCCTGGAGCTTTATCTTTAACGATGGTAGTCACCCGCCTGGTCTTGTGGCCGCCGCTGGAGAAGTACGTGACATACTGGAAGGAAGGGGACCAGTTAAAATATATGAAGTGCTTACCAATTTCAAGTTTTCCCTGTTTGTATATAATAATGGATTTGGATTTTGTGATTAAAGGCATTTCAACATTCTGAAGTTGCTCTAGGCTATTCCATTAAAGCAATTGGGTTCACTTGTCAACAGAATGATGGGTATCAAAGAAATCTACAAAATTAACAAGCGGTAGACGTTCGTTCGGACAAAAATGTGAGGATTATCTGTGTTCAGCCAATTTGGCAACAGGAAGAAGTACTGGCATTGATTTGGTTTAACTTAAACTCTTTGATACATATTTCCAGTATTTATTCATATTTCTCTCTTTGTGGCTCTCACTCTCACAGACTTTTTTATGTTGTGCATATTAATGAATGATCTATGACAAGCTGAGTGAGAATCCATATTCATGACATACCAGTGACGTTATCTGAGCCAAGATCTTCATTGCCATGGCACAGAGTTGTAATCGAGCCATCATTGGTCAATATTTCATCCAGTCTCAAATTAAACGTTTCATAAAAACTACGGCAAAGGTCGTACCTTGTGACCTGACTTGTGATCCGACTTGTGATTTGACCTCTGATCGATATGCGATTTGACCTCTGATTTGACATCTGATTGACTTATGACTTACATAATGACATATAGGGTCATTTGTACTTATCCCAAACGTACCTGTAACATATAGCTAACTATTTTCAAAAAGCTTACTTGGATTAAAGATTACACTGGTACTAATCCCCCTCGTGAAACTATGCCGTTTAGCTTACTGTCATTTAAAAGAAGACATGTACGTGATTTCCAACAATCAGTCAATAAATTGATTGTTTCCCTGTTATACAAAGAGTGCTACAGACAATAATTTATGATGTTGTTTTTTTTTCAATCAAAATCTGTGCATCATGCATGGTTTTCACTGTTTTCTCAATATGTGTAATATCCACATAGTTAAAACTTCAACCCGTTAGGTTTTGAACATTCGTCTTTGGATTTTGAGTGGTGTTATCAATGGAAACATTCAAAATGCATAAAAAGCAAATGATTATAAGCCTTTGCATTGTGTCCTAACATTTTAAAAAGGGAAGTTATTTACAAATATTCATTGATAAGTAAACATAACATTACTTTAATAAAAGGGGACCTCCCCCCCCAAAAAACCCCAACCAATTCGGTAAGACAAGGACAAAAATGATGACAAGAAGAGTATCTATATTTCAAATAAAAAGTAGACGTTCAACCTGAACTAGCTTGTACGTAATATCAACGATTTCTCGGCTGGTGTTGTTTTCGATCGTGCCCGACACAAAGATACTCTCTCCCGGCACGTAGGCACCCTTGTCCGTGGAAGCTTTGACTATGATCGGGCCCTGGGCGCAGCACAGGCAGCAGACTGTCTTGGTTGACTCTTGGTGAGAAGGGATCTGAATAAAAAAAAACCAGGAGAAACTGTTTATTTTGTTGGTTGGAACTTTGAATTTGGTAAAAGAGTGACATGCTCCATCTGATTATTGCAGTGGTACAGAGGAGGCTTTGTATCATGTTTAAAAAGTCCATGGAATGAATTTTTCTTAATTATAGGAACACATTTTGTGCAACTTTCTACGCCTAATCAATGTATGAAAACTATTTGGCAACCCTTTTTCATCATCATCATCATCATCGTCGTCGGTTTTAAGGCCGTTGTCCAGCCTGTTCTGGCTTGGCCTGCTTTCTCCCTATGTTCTACTCCACTTGGCCCTGTCCGTCGCGTCCCTCGCATCGACTCCAAGCAGTCGCATGTCATCAGTAACAGAGCTCTGCCACGTCTTGCGCGGTCGGCCAACGGGTGTGGGCCCACCCGCGACTATTTTGGTACACCTCGACCCAGCTGGCATCATCCTTTCTCTCCACGTGACCATACCACCTCAGCCTATGCCTCCTCAACACGATACCGATCCCCTCCACTCCAACTCTCCTCCTCAACTTCTCACTTGACAGCCTGTCACCCAGAGACACCATACCCCACACATGCCATCCCCCTGATCATTCTCATCTCTGCTCGTTCCAACTGCTGGACGTGCCCCACCATAGTGGGCCACGTCTCGCAGCCGTACAGCATGCAGCTCCTTTTTTAAATTAATTTGATTAAAAAATTATCTAAGCCCGATTTCATAGAGGTGCTAAGCAGAAAATATTACTAAGCAGATTTTTTGTTTTAATAAATAAGCGAAAATCAGCTGAAAAGTACCCTCTACAAATTACAAGCAATAGGGTATTTGGACTGGTTATTTTTTCTGGTAAGCAAATATTTTCTTGGCTTAGCAAATTATTTTGTGTGCTGAGCATCTGCGCAAACTTCTCTTGCAGAAAAAACAACCCACAACTTAGAATGCCATGGTCCAGTGGTTACGGTGTCTGACTCATGTATGATAATGGGTTCAAACCCTGCCAGGAACATGGTGTTTGTGCCCTTGGGCAAGACACTTAACTACAATTGCCTCTTTCCACCCAGGAGTATGAATGGGTACCAGAGTATGAGGGTAGAGGACTGAATGTGTGCTGATATCGGCTGCCGCTTAGTCTCGTGGCCCGACGAACGGGGGAATAATTGTTCAAACGATGGAAAGCGCTTCTAAGCGTGACAATTTATTTATTTATTTGTGTACTTAACTTACTCTGGCATGAGGCATGCTATTCAGGTCAATTGGTAAACCAACCACGGTGAACAGTCGCTCCGTGTTATGATTGAACTTCCAGGGCCGGTCGATCTTGCACATGATCCGGTAGCGGATCCAGCCCACGTACGACTCGAACGGAAACGGCAGCGGGACGTTGGGAATCTGGAAGGAGAACGGGAAGCGATGTTCCCCGGACTCAAGGGTCAGCTTCGATGCGCCGCGATCGTTTTTACCTACGGGGAAATTATACGGTTGTTACCAATGCTGTTAATTTTTTTGGTAAAAAAAAATTCAACTGTTTCTTTGAAAAAGGGTAGATAGAGTTGTATACGGTGCCGAATTCATGACGATGTCGAATTTGGCGCGATCGTGGTAACCGCAGGCCTTTTTGTCTGTATAAGTGTGCTGATATCTCTGTAGCATTAAAAGCGGCTTGAAATTGTGTTCGTGGCTGGAGAACGATGAAAAAAGAATCATGTTATATTTCAAACAAGTTAAACTACTCTACAAATCAGTCATTACGTGATCAAATTGACAGGATGCACTGAAACTGAGCGTAGAATTATTCGACCCACCTTTTCCCCAGCAGATGAGTTTTTCTTTGAAGTAGACCTCCTTGGCCGAGTAGTGTCGACGGTTTTTGCTACTGCCCTCTGACCAATGGGTGTGAGACTCGCCTTTGAACTTGATTTGAATGCCTACAAAATAAAGAAAACACAGCCTTGCAGAGCACTGAAGGGTAAAATCACATCATAAAGCACATACCACCAAACTTTGGTACGTAGAAAGGAAAGCAAAACGAGCTTCCTTAAAAGAGGGGAATAACAATACTGGTTTCAAATGGTTTTCCTGTGTTGCGCCGAACAAAATTATGCATGTATTTGAGGAACAATTTGGAGCGTCGAGACGCGAAAAATTCAATACATAACTTGACGGTCTAAAACTGACTCTGCTGTGCCACCCTAGGGAACGGGTAAAAACCATAGAGTTGCATATAATAAAGAACACGTTGCAAACGAGGTCGGTTCATACTTGGCGCGAATGCGAATGCGACTTTGTGACGTCACGGCTAGTATATGGCAAATATTCGCATCCGCTTAATAAAGGCTACTCTGTGTAACCAAACGAAAGATCCAAACTCCTTTATTTTCTGGACGAAATTTTAATACACTTACATAGTTGTTCACACAAGTTGTTGAGCAAATTTATGAAGGTTTTGGTATCAACATTTTCTTCACTACATAAATTTGAAATTAAGATCAACAAAGACATGTGGCGTGAGGAATTTTTCGCACTCGTTTGTCACGTGACGCAGCATGATTATCACGTGGTCCATATACGCACCCCTGACATCATTCTTGACTCCTCCAAGCACAATTCTCACATAGCCCCGGATGACTTCTCCTGAATGGTAGACACCAGCGTCGTTGCCGTCGAACACGACATCAAACATCTGCAACTTTGCCATGACGAACGCTCCACATGCACAATATCACTGGATAAAGGTCAATAATAACATTGGTACTTACCCGGAAACATATACATATATATCGAGAATACCTTGCTCAATTACCGTACCTACCGAGAATACCTTGCTCAATTACCGTACCTATCGAGAATATACCTTGCTCAATTGTCGTACCTACCGAGAATACCTTGCTCAATTACCGTACCTATCGAGAATACCTTGCTCATTACCGTACCCGACATAACAGGATGAGTCAAAAAGAAAGTGACCGAGTTAGAAAACACATTAAAAAGACATGTGGCTCGCTCCATTTATAAATAAAATCTAACAAAGTGTAAACCAAGTGGTTCATTTTTGACTTACTCAGACGTGGAATCTTCAATGGAAACAACCGTACCCAAACATCGGGGCGTCGCCAGGATTTTTCTAGAGGCGGCAAAGCACATTATTTCCCAAAATCATTGTACTTTCAATACCATATTCTCAGTTTATCATTTTTGAGGGTGGACGGGGGACATTTGCCCACCCCACCCCCATTGACACCCATGCGGACGCCCATGTTTTAAATGTGTTATTATAAGCAATTATGACTCCGTGCCTCTTTTTTTCTTCCCGATTTTCCCCCCCTTTTTAATTTTGTTCCAGGGGGTGGGGGGGGGGGGGGCAAGCCGTAGGCGCTCCCATTGTCCCCCCCCCTTCGCGACACCCATGTACCCAAATAGGCTCATCATCCATCCACCATATTTACCACAGAGATCAACGTGATCGTTTTGTATACAGGGTGAGTAAAAAACCCCGATTGGGACCATTGTTTTACTATTAGTGAAGCACTTTCAAAATCTAGGATATGAAAGCCCAATTCATAAGCTTTCTTTCAGTACAAAAATCATTTAAATCACCCATGTACTTTTTAAGTTACAAGATTTTAAACACAACCACCGTTTTAAGATTCTGTCCACGGATCACAAAAAGTTCAGTGCGTTCTTTCAGCAAAACGAAAACAATTTGCTGAAAGAACGCACACCTTTTGTATGATCCATGGACAGAACTTTAAAACGGTGGTTGTGTTTAAAATTCCATAACTTGAAAAGTACATGAGCGATTTGAATGATTCTTGTACTAAAAGAAAACTTACGAATTGGGCTTTCATATCCCAGAATTTCAAAGTGCTACATGGAGAACTTCAACAAACCAATAGTCCTGACATTTGGGTTTCGTTTTTTTTTTATAGGGGGATGCCCTATATATACTGGAATTCAAGATGAAAGGCGTGATCGTGAAATGCCTTATTTATCACTGGGTCCACAATACATGTAGGCAGTAGAACATGTAACCGCTGAGTATTATAGAAGTCTCATTTTAAAAGAAATCGACGTCATTGTGCTTTCTCGTCCTTTGTATTTTCAAACATTTAGGTGCATGTACAAAATGCACAGGGCTTGGTTAATATCTGCGTCTACTTTAATATGCAAATCTCAAATTTGCAGTCCTAATACATACACCTAGGCAACCCTTATAGCTTGATTTACCATGTGACATAAAGTCAATTCCTAGAGCTAAATGCACAGCCATGGAAGTTAATCGTATGCTAATTTTGTTTTTGTTTTTAATAAAGATGACTGGTGATCCGTGATTTTTCTTCTAAAAATCAGTATATTATCGACTATACCCAAAACGAACACAATCACTCAACTATTAGAAAACACCAGTGCAGGAATCACTGTAAATAGTAGTGTTCGCTTTGCGTTTTGTTAATTGTTTGGTGTATGTATGTGAAGTGAGTCGGATATTTTTGATATCTCCATTCACTCGAACTTCACGAGCCTGTTAGCTCTTCATTTCAGTCATTTTTGAATTTAAGTCTTTTTCTTTTAGTAAATTGTTGACTTAATCTTATTTTGTTTAACCACTTGGTTACAATAGGCATAAAGTAATTGAATTTATATATATTTTCTATTTGTATTTTACTACAAATATCACAACTTTCAGCTATCAACCACTGAGCATTTACCGATACGCAATGATGAATACCCTTAAAATACAATGAACAATGGAGGTTTCCTACTTCCATGAATGAACAAAAAATTGCAATGGAAAACTATCAAAAATCACTATGGGGGAAAAAACTTGATTTGTTCCTCATATACAAAACACAAAATCTGACAGCAAAAAAAAGTTTCAGTCTTGACTCAAGTTGTTAAAATCTCATTTGTATTTGAATGCCTGTGTGACATCTCTGGTTCTTACTTAGCTGAATAGCTTCAAAATGTGATTAATTGATTTTATTAGGTCAATAATTCATGAATAGTTAACATTATTAATATCGTACTTTGATTATGTATATGTATTCTTTGTGAAGGGGCCAGACCTAGTACATACAAGCTGCGACCTCCCCACACAAATAGTTCAAGTTTTGTCCTGGTATCTTACTTGCCTTATGGCATATGGAAATAAATCTGAGCCCGAAGAGAACGGACGACTGAACATGTTCAGATGCCGGCATAATTAATTATTACGAGCTGAGCCTAATTCTATATCCATGTGTTTCTGTTGGAGCTGACAACAAACCTGAAGAATTATCTGTACGTGATGCGCCATTCATGGCTTTTGCTGTAGCCGACCTCATTATTCCCCGTGTTGTACACTACACAAGTCACAGGTGTATAGGCGTGCAACCAAGGTCATGATCAAAACGTTGATAATTTTGTCCGCCACAAGTTGTTGTGTCATGCATTTCGGTGAGCATGCTGTGCGTTTTCTTTCGTCATTTCATTCCATGATTTCTTCTTACCTGAGACCTCGTATTTCCCCTGCACTAAGCTGTGCGAACGGGGTAAGGTAGTCATTTCTGTTCGTTATTAATAACAGCACGACACAGTGCTTATTCGGTGCACACATTTAACAATATTACTGTACACGTACTGACTACTGTACTGTACTGTGTTAACGCCGCGACCCACAAAAAGGCCCACATTCACGAACGCGAACCCGACCCTGCTTACAATACAAGGCTCAGTGCTGGTTATATAATCAAATCGAATTCTGTGCCCCCTTATTACTTGCTGAATTTAAAGAATGCATTATTAGGATAAATAACAATGAATACTTACGACGTCCATCATAACAATAACATGGATACCGGATGGAGGACGGTGCGACCATAGAAATCAGTGGGTGCGACACATGCACTCGGCGCGCGCAGCTAACTAGGGGACGTACAATAGACTTTCACCAGTCCATTCATGGTGGTATTTATATATCATTCGCGGGGATTGTAAAATTTGGCCAAATCATGAAAAAATTATGGAAAATTGCCTCAAAAATTGAGCAGGCCTATAGGACCCTTTAGCAGTGACATAAGCTGCCTAGTTCCGAATGTTAATGAATTGGATGAATACATGTTTCCCCCATTTGTTTTTGACACCCCCCCCAAAAGGGGGGGGGGGGATTTTAACGTTATTCACATGACCGTCAACATGTGTTTTGATGTTATCTAGGGTCGCTTTGGTCCATCTACAGAGGTGGTCGGTATTCACTACGAAAAATCCATGGTATGTCACATCGAACACCGAGCAGAATACTAGCGACACATTTCCATGGAATTGCGTATACAATGTACATCTTAGGTTCTTTGCCGAGCCCCGGCACTTACACTCCTTGTAAATTTCCTATGAAAAAAACAAAACATGAACGAGTTCAGAAAGCAGATGCTCAAGACCTTGAGAGATTCGAGTAATGACAGTTAATAAGTCAACACTTTATTTATCTAATCATCGATATAATAGTTCTGTAAATATTTTAATAAGAAGAGTTAAAAATGTTCTGTTTGATTTGATGAAACTGTACATGCAAAGTAAAACCAAAAGATAAAGTTGAGGGTAAATAAGAAGCACTTTATTAATTTACGCTCTAATAATGCTGATTTTTACAAAATGTAACAAAATAAAATACACGCGTAATAAAAAGCCGGTTACACTGACGCGCGGAATTGGTTTTAAAAATGACTTAATGATTATATCACAATTTATTCAGCCTGATACTATACAAACCAAGAACAAATTTTGACTTGGGAACACCGACGGCATATTAATAAAATAGAAAAATATTCAGCACGCACAAAAAGGCCTAGAAACTATTATGTGATCTCAAAAGGTTTATTTATGTACAACCATTTACTTGACCTACTAATATTTGCACATCTTACATGCAAAACATCAGCCTATTAATGATAGCTTTATGCAAAGCTATTAAATGGGAGCCTCTCGATCCGACCTCATGCAAACACACGTTCATCATTCCCTTTCGAAAACTTCCCAGCCATCTTTATGCGGACTTGTGTCCATATTAAGGTGTGTTTTTCTACTCTTAAATAAGTATACTGCCTGTCAGGAAAACAGGCAACGGGAATGAATTACAAGTTGTATTGTTGTAACACCACTCACTGGTGTTCATACTGTGTACAAAAATATTGTTACAGCTAAAAAAAGAAGTCACAAAAACATGACGTTCAGGCAAGAAGCACGAGTCTAAAGTTTCAGACACGAACTTCTTGTAAGACCACCCACTGACATATAGTGTAATTCAACAGGCATGCAGAAGACACAAAATATGACGGTTCCACTTTTAATATTTTGGAGCATAGTATCCCGACTGTGCTTGCTGAGGCGGGTGAGCAGGGTCCCAGGTTGGGGCACTCGCCGGCAGATTGTAGGTCGGGTACTGAGGGGCGTACATGAGTTTTACCAAAGGTGTAGTCGTGGCCATTCTTGCTTGGTATTTCCTGGAGTCCTTCCACGGCAACTTGGTAACTCGGGGGTGGCGCAGCTATATTTAAGTAAAGGAATAAAATAATGTGCTATTACAAATCTATCAAAAGTAACTACATGTACAGGGAAAAAATAGTGTTCGAAACTGGATGTATGATTGCAGGATTTTTTTTATAGGATTCTCGAAAGACTTGTTTTGACATGGACTTACTTGCAGCGCTAGCGGACGGTTGCTCACTCACAATGGCGGATGGATCCGGGTACTGAGACTGGTAAAGAGGCACTGTCCCTATGGTAACAGGCAACTTCACCTCAGCATCCAATGGGGTGCTACTGACGTCACCTTCAAACTATAAACAAAGGAAGAATATACATGTATTGATATTCGGTTTGAGTTCTTTGCATCATAATGGTACACTCTAAAGCATATTGTTTTCGAGACTAGACATGTAAAGTAATTTCATATCGACTTAAAGCTTATGCAGACTGCGCAGACAGTGCGCGGAACTGTCGGCAAAGACCATCATGTTCAACTTTGCCGATTGTCTGGGTTGTCGGTGACATTTCCGAATGAAATTGTTTCCATATGTCCGTGTTGCAGTTTTGGTCTTGTTTGCGATGGACTCTCTGCGTTACCTCGATATGGAAACTAGGCTTTAGGGAGCTGCATGGTACTGTTGAAAGCACACTGTGTTGGGCCGCTGTTTTACTCAGGAAAATCATGGAGGAAGGAAATCCTCCATGGTCCACCTTACGACCATAAGCGGTTAAGTATATCCCTCGCTCGAACTTGTGACAAGAAACTGCTATCCCTTTTGAGTCATCTATATACCAAGTAAGTATCTTTAGTTCTGCATGTCTCTTCCATTTGGCAGGGCATACCTCAACGAAATACTCAATCTTGATGATGTTGCATCCCTGGGGGCCGGATGGAGGAATGGAAGGTAAGATGAGAGGCTTCCAATCCATGCGGGCCACCTCCCCACTCTTACAACCGGGAGCTTTATCTTTGACCATGGTAAACGTCCGCCTGGTCTTGTGGCCGCCGCTGGAGAAGTACGTGACAAACTGAAAGGAAGGGGACCAGTTAAAATATACGTGAAATACTTACCAAAATAAACCGAATTCTTTTGGTACGGTATACATGTATATTTTGTATTGCACTTGGTGACTTGCAGTCAAATACTGTTAAGTTTCACTGTCACACTGAAGGGGCATCGAAAGCAAGTTTCTTTTTTCTTTATATATGTGACCAAAGGTACTAGGTGGGCATTGTTTGCTATGAAAATAAAGGTACAATATATATGTTTTCAGCTAAAGTTAGCACTGAGAGGAGATTGAAGAGCCATGGAATGATTTGGATTTACTTGTCCAATTTACCATCACATGCACCCTTCTGATGAAAACTGTAAAGTGGTCATACAATTATGACTTTGTTGTGCATTAGTGAGTGCCTCAAGAGCAATGTCTATATATCACGGTAACAGCAGTGGTGTATTAGCAAATCAGCTCCTTGGTATAGAGACAAGTTTCGAGACATTTTACCGTTTCTCATTTCTCAACCAATTGAAGTGTATGTTAATATATTGTTGCAGCAAGGCTGCAGTGTTTAGCAAACGTGACATTATCGTACCCTGAAGTTCAACTTGTCTGCAGCCCGGTTCATACTAGGATCGAAAGCGAAAGCGAACGCGAATTTGTGACCTATGGGGAGTATTCGCGCTGCTAATTCGTAAAAGTTGAACACATTTGAACTCGGGCTAATTTTGCAGCGAATGTTTCATGACGTCAAATTCGCTTCGCATTCGCATTCACATAAACCGGGCTTTAAACATCAAAAGACTAGAGATATATAGGAATGACCCGACAATCCGTTAAACTTTAAGGGAACTTGTCAACCAAGTTTCATGAGGAAATAAACACAACTTTAATACAAGTGATACCCCGAAAACTACCTACTCCGTGTCTTCACAAGTATGACGACACAAACAATACCAACATTACTCTCATAAGATTAAACCAAGTAAACAAATCAATCGCAAGTACTCCGATGAGAGAAATGTTGTAATTGAAGGAATTAGTATACAGGAAAGAAAATACACATGCGATAATTCAACCTGAACTAGCTTGTAGGTAATGTCAATGATTTCTCGGCTGGTGTTGTTTTCGATCGTGCCCGACACAAAGATACTCTCTCCCGGCACGTAGGCACCCTTGTCCGTGGAAGCTTTGACTATGATCGGGCCCTGGGCGCAGCACAGGCAGCAGACTGTCTTGGTTGCCTCTTGGTGAGACGGGATCTGAAAAATAGGAGAAAAGGTTCACTTATTGGTTTGAAAAGAGTGACATTATCCAACCGATCACTTTAATGACACAAAGGAGGCTTTCATTTTCAGTTACAATATCATGACTTGGAGTTTGTATTAGTATCACATAATTATCAGTGGATGCCACTTGGTGTATGAAAGGAGAAAAGACTTGCTGCAAAGTGTCTCGCTTAGGGACACAGGAACACAGATCCACAAGTCAACGGTCGACAAAGTGCCTTTAACCTCCTCATCATAAAGCTCTTTACCATGAGGACCCAATGCACCACATTTTCAAAATGGCTACTTTTCCAGTTTGGGATCTTCTTTGGTTTAGGGGTGGTCTTCTCTGGGTTAGAATTTCTTCAAAAAGTCAATGTCATCCCACCAAAACTTGAAAAGAAAATGATGGGAGATGTCATGTTGATCATCAATATTTTTGTTGCATCCTGAACACATGTGAGAGTTCTGAGTATCTTAAAAAGAATTTTCAGGTATGGAGATTTATCACTGGTGTATGCATGGGATTTTTTTTTTATGGGGTGCACCCCGATCATCCCCAAATGGCGTCGTTAAGTTTATCACTCTCATTCGCTCAAGAATAAGGCCTTTTTCACAGAGGTGCCACGGAAAATTAGTGCTTAGCATAATGTACTTCCTTATAAAAACCACCTGGGAACCATTCCCAAGCTATACATACAATACATGACATATGGGCTGGTAACCGTTTATTCCGTAAGGAAATAATTTCTTTGCATAGCAAATTACGTGCTGAGCAGGTGCATAAACTATAAAAAAACAAACACCATAACTTACTCTGGCATGGGGCATGGTATTCAGGTCAATGGGTATACCAACCACGGTGAACAGCCGCTCCGTGTTATGGTTAAACTTCCAGGGCCGGTCGATCTTGCACATGATCCGGTAGCGGATCCAGCCCACGTGCGACTCGAACGGGAAGGGCAGCGGGACGTTGGGAATCTGGAAGGAGAACGGGAAGCGATGCTCCCCGGAGTCAAGGAACAGCCTGGATGCGCCGGGATCATTTTTACCTGCGGGAAAACGTACAGTTGTATTTATACCATTGCCGTTAATATACCACGTGGCCTGTTCGAGTAAAACAAAATTGACCGTTTCGTAGAAAGAAGTCAACAGGGTTTTTTACGGTGCCGACTTCATGACGAAAATTCGGCGCAATCATGGCAGCCGGTAAATGCTGACTGGCGCTGTCCACGTTTACACGCGGTTACAGTTACATTCGTCGCTGAACATTCCTGTTCCA